GTTCTCTACAAGGTCTTTGAGTTCCTTGTCTGTTACCATTATTCTGGAATCTACTGGGAAGCTCCATTTCTACTTCCCAAGAGAAGCCACAAGATGAAGAGCTATCACTGACTGAAGAACCACAGGCCACAGAACAGTCAAACAGAATAGCAGTGTATCCAAGAGGTTGGCTTGGACTCAGGCTCTCAAAAACAACAGACCTAGGCTTAAAGTACTGCTCTGCTACTCCTTAGCTTTGTGATAATGGTCAAGTGAATTAACCTCTCTGAGCATTGATTTCTCCCTCTGTAAAATGGGAGAGTGTGGATGAAAGGTGAAAACACATATAAAAGGCACCAAAATGTTCCCAGTGGTTATCTCTTAGTTGCATGAGTTTTACTGTCTTTTTGGAACTTTTCTCTATTTTTTAAATTCTGTACAATAGGTATGTATGTTGAAAAAAACAAAAACAATAAAGGCACTGTAAGAAAAAAAAACAGGGCAAGGAAATACAATGCAGAAAGCAAACTCTGCTCTTTCTAACCTCTCGATGAAGCTACAACCAGCTCAGGAAATGGCTCTGACCCGCTGACCTTTTCTTCTTAATAACAACAGTTTCTAGGCATTGGTGGTTCAGTGGTAGAACTCCCACCTTCCATGGGGGAGACCTGGGTTCAATTCCCAGCCAGTGCACCTCAAGTGCAGCTACCACCTGTCTGTCAGTGGAAGCTTACTTATTGCTCTGATGCTGAACAGGTTTTAGCAGAGCAGCATTTTGTCCATTGCACATGAGGCTGCCATGAGTTGGGGGTTGACACGACAGTGACTAACAACAGTGATAACATTCCCAAGCTCAGCACTTAACAGACATGGGTTCAACCAATTGTAACAACAGCACCGTTCTTTAGTTTGCTGTCGAGTCGATTCCAACTCATGGCGACCCCATGAGTGGAACTGCTCCACAGAGTTTTCAAGACTGTGGCCTTTCAGAAACAGATCGCCAGGCCTCACTTCCAAGGTGCCTCTGGGTGGGTTTTTGAACTACCAGTCTTTTAGTTGGTAATTTAGTGCTTAACCATTTGTGCCACCCAGAGACCCTATAACATCACTATAAGGCAGGTATTGTTGATATTCCCATTTTACGGATAAGTAAACCAAGGCACAGAAAAGTGAGGAAATTTGTCCAAGGCTACATATCCAGGATTTGAACCCAGCCTGGGGTTCCAGGGCCTGTACTCCAAATCATTACCTCCCTCCATGTACCAATCCAGGTTTGGGACCAAGGCAATAATCTCACATTATTCCTTTACTGCCACGTTCAGGGGGGTGAATCAGGACTCTGCTCTTGGCTGATTTCCTCTGCAGTACTTTACCACCAACTGGGGACTGCCTGGCCTGACAGCTAAGGAGGCTGCAACTTGGATATACTATGGTAGGATCCTCCCTGATGATGGAGAAGGAACAAGCTTGCCTGGGCACTGCCTCATGAGGCAGGGGTCCTCCGATGATGTACCTCATTTGCCAAGGGCTCTACTGCCTCCTCTGGGTCCTGGACTCAGAGTCAGGGACCCAGTTTCCACTCCTGGTATCAAGTCCTGTGGCCTGAGGAATGTCATTTCTTCTCTCTGGGCCAGTGAAACAAGAGGACTTCTAGGCCTCAAGTCCTCTGAGAGTCTTATTTCCTCAAACATAAAAAGCTCGTGGTTAAAATTATGTCATCTGAGAACATTAAAACAAATTCTCATTTTCTGAGAAAAAAGGTATGTGTTCCACCTCACCACTCTCCAGGCCCCCAAACTCTGGTATTTTTATTCCCCTCAAACTAACCCTTTCAGAAGGTGCCTACAAAACACCCCTATTGGCCTTTCTGTGAGAGGACTTTTATGCCCTGCAGGCAGTCACCACTAGCATCCAGGAAGAGATGCTCTGCGTCATTACAACAGATTTAAGGCAGGCCCCTGGGAAGACCCAATGCCAAGGGAGATCCACAGGGCAAGTGTTTCATCTAGGAACTGTGGATGTCCAAGACTTCATATTCAGAGACCCTGGGCCAGGGCAGGGTTCTGTGACTCACCAGCTAACTCTTCTCAACATTTTGATTGTTTCTGACGTGAATCACAAAGAGAACTTTATGGGTTGGTTTCCTTGGATACTTTGGCTAAGAACCAAGAAGAATAAAGCTGACTTTTTTAAACACATAATTTGTGTAAAATAACTCATATCTAAACTATCTGAGCAACTTTTCATCCTCTAATTCAGACATGCTCTGAGATCTCAATAGAAAGGTGGTAGCATGTTCTTAGGAGCCCTGGTAGTACAGTGGTTAAAATGCTCAGCCGGTAACCAAAAGGTCTGCAGTTTGAACACACCAGCTGCCCTAAGGGGTAAAGATTACATCCTTGGAAACCCTATGGGGCAGTTCTGTGCTGTCCTATATGGTCACAACAAGAACAAGTGTGTTCTTATAAAATTTGGAGTGACAGGAAGGGAATGGAATCTCAGAGGCAGATATATTTTTGTGGGAAATGAAAATAGGGCAAGAAGGCAAAGTCAGGATTTTTGAAAGGAAAGGAAACGTTGGAAATAATCCAATCGAGGAAGACTAAATAGTTTCCATTTCTGGTGTCAACTCCAATTGATTGGTAAGCAGTTGCCTGGGATGCTTGTGTTGAAAAGGACTCTGAGGCTGTTTCTGAATCCAAATAGAAATACTGCCATGATGGCGGAGCAAGCCTGATGTGGGTTCAGGACTGAGCAGGGACAGTACCCACACCCTCTATTTGCCACCAGATCTAGCCCAAGCTTTACACATGATAGAATTGAGGCCAAGAGAATAAAAAGGTTTTGACCAAGGTCACATAAAGAGGTAATGCCACAGGAGGCAAGAAGAAGGAAAAGGGTATAGAGGTAGGGTAGGAAGCAGGGGTGAGAGGGGATAAGGATGAAAACTACTGTTTTAGTTGTGGAATAACCAAGAGGAATATCTTCCTATTTGAAACCATTGTCCAAAGAGGATCTACATGGGGCAAGAAAATAGGGAGAAATGATACTGGCCAATTAAAGAGGAGATGTAGGAGCCTTGGAAGAATCAGTACCATCCTGGGGATTAATTTTCAGAAGATTGTTTTTTGTTTTTTTTTGGCCAAAAGAATGACAGCTTCTCTCCCTGAGCAAAAGCTTTTCCAGAATGGTCCCTGAAAGCATCGTGCGTAGAGATGCCTGTAGGTTGCCATGGTGAATGATGCTGATCTGGAGAAATGAACAATGTGAGCATTGGGGGTGACAGTGGGATTACTCAGACATTGGTGAGAGGTATCAGGCATCGCCCACAGCAGAGGAGGGGAGAAGGCACCATTCTTTCGGCTTTGGTCTACTCTGCCTCTGAGGCTGAGCTCTAGCTGGATACACTGCCAGCATCAGGTAAGAGGCATGGATGGCGCTTCTTGGAAATGTAAATAGCTTCTTCTTTCACACTTGCCTCAGAGAAGGGCTAGGCATAGTAATGTGAATAGCTCAAAATAGGGGGAATTTAGAAACAGAAGTAAATAAAGAAGACTGATTTGGTCCTAAAAACCGAGGATGCTCTAGTGTCCTGACAGAGCTATTAAAAATGTCTGCTGTGGGGAACTCAGTCTGCAAAGCCAGCTGGCATCAGATACAGGCAAACAGGAGAAAAGATTTGTGACAAGAAGTGTGATTCCTGCTTACTCCTGATGGAAGGGTTTTACAAAGGTAGTTGCCTATGTATCTGAAGTAATGAATTAAGCTTTTTTGATTGTGGCTGGAAGTGGGATTACAGGAATGTGTGGAGTGTTGGGGTGGGGTGGGCGGGTGTGTAAGACAAGGAGACCAAAAGACAGAGCATGAATACTTGGTCTCAGTCTCCTTGCAATGACCTTCCTCGGAAGGATCTGAGTATACCTGTCTAGTTCCTTTCATTACTTATTTTCCTGGGAAGAAATTTCCAGCCGAATGGAAAAGAACTCTTCCCCCGTCCCGAGCATCTTAATTCACTGTCATCTTTAGAGAAGAAAAACAAGGATTGAAAAATTACTCAACACTGCGTATCTTTCCGCACAACTCTCCTGGAAATACGGACACAAAAATAGGTGAGAGGGAAGCAGGGGAGAAAGAAAGGAAGCTCATAATAGAAATCAGTTTGGCTTCATATCCAATTCAGGGTAAAATCCTAGCAACTGCTTTTCACTGTGTTACTGCAATCTAAAGTGAAACCTGTATTTCATGTCAGAGAGGAGGAGCAGAGAACAAAGCAGGATGAGACTTATACACGAACATATTTTAGATCAGGGGAAATTCAGTGGAGGGGAACTCTATCTCTCAAGTAGATAGAATTAAAAGGAAACTAAAAAGCTTGAAAATGGCTCTCTCTTGCTAAAGTGGCAGGGCTGGCAATCTAAAGAGGGTTCATTTGAATTGTCTGGAAAAAACAGCAACTAGGTCTTAGCATCACTACCTCATTTTGCAATAACGGTCAGTTGCTAAAGCCAGCAGCCTTCCATCTGGAAGTCAAACAGTTGAATGGCTTTGAATCTTAGTTCTACTTATCAGCTGACTGACCTCAGATTGCTTATCTGTGAAGTGGGGATCCAGCACAGGGAGTATGTTGAAGAATCAAGGAAATTTATTATTGCATGTCAGGCAGCTAGCATGGCCTGCGACATAGTAACTGCTCACTATTGGTAGTTATTATTATTTACAGTACCAGTAGTAATAAGTAGTAGTAGCTATGCTAGTATTAGGAGCTGATTCTCCACCTGTGAAACTGATGTCCTAGGTACCACTGGTTTTGAAAAAACAAATCAACAAACAGTACACGAGCAGAGGTTTGGGGGTAAAATCAGCTGCCAGCCAGTGCCGAAGCGAGTCTCCTGTTACCATGGGCATCAGAACTGGGAGGCTGAAAAAGCAATGGGCAGAATGCTCTAGATAACTGAGCTTACATCATTTAGAGCAGCAGCAGGCCAAGAAGGGAAATTTTAGGTGAAACAATTGCTTGACCGAATGTCACAGAGTAGATGGGAACTCTGTGGTGCCGATTTCTCCTTTTATTCTTCCTCTTCCTCCTCCTCTTCTTCTTTTTTTTTTAAGGGTTGGGGACAACGTTATCTCTAAAGGATATGAACCAGGGTGGGATGAGCCTGGGGGATATGGGTGAATCTTGTTTAGGCCTGAAGTCCACCTTGGCATGAGACATGTGCCACTTCTTAGCTATGCATGCTAAGTAACGTAACTTCTTGGCCTCCGTGTGTCTGTAAACCTGGACGCCCTATTAGTCCCTGTAAAAAAATCAATAAACGGTGGCTATGATCATTATAAATAAGTACTTAGATTGGGGGATGTCACTGTTCACTTTGATCTGGTTTCAGAATCGAGATGAACATCGAGGTTGGGAACGTTTCTTATTCAGGAGCCATCATTTCCTGGTCGTCCTTGGAGCCCTGCCTGGAGGACTATTACCACATTATGTATAGGCCCAATTGGAACAGCATCTTCTCTGGCTATCTTCGCTACAGCTTCCACCACGAGGAGAAGGTGCCTCGAACGATCAGCTCTGTGGTACTTGAACATCTGGCTCCTTCTACTCTCTACTTCTTGTGCATCAGCTGCAGAAAGATCACCTTCCCCTACAGGCACTACTGCACCATGTTCCACACGCTGGATAAGAGCCCACTGGCTTCTGGAAGCTCCCTGGTGGACCCCCAAATCTCCCTTTGGGTGCTAATGGCCATTCTGCTGGCCTGCTTCACAGCCGTCTTAGCCTTCATCTGCCTCCAGTTCTGGTGCATCCGCTGCCATGAGCCTCGGTGGTCTTACAGAGCGGGCCACGTGGAGGAAGCCAACGGGCTGGTGAGATGGCCAGAAGAGGTGCCAGCTCTTGGTCAGAGGGAAGACGACTTGCAGGGGCTCCCCCTGGTGGAGATGCCACGCAGGAACTCTGGAGCTGCTGCTGAATCGGAAGAGGAAGCTGCCGAGGAAGCTGCCCAGGACGCCCCCAGGGAGATCGTTGCCTTACACAGGGAGGGCAGTGATCAACCAGCCAGGGTGCCTCAGTGTGGGGAGTGAGACGTGGGGAGGAGGCAGCCCACATCATGTAGTTGAAACACTGCACACAGTAGGTCTTTTGTAAAAAAATTTGTCTATAGAGTACCCATTTCTCTCCCTGCAATGTCAGTGCTATTTAGTGGAAGAACTGGTTTGGTGAATGCCCTATGACAAAGCTTCTCAAACTCGAAAATATACACCCTTAGGGTGCGCTAAGGGAGAAACGGGGCATCCCTTCAGGAGAGTCCATTGTGAGGCACAGTTAAGAATTAAAAGAATTACCTTAACATTAAAACAAATAGGATATACTATGGAGGGAAAAGTAAAATTTGCATGACAAAAATACAATACTTTCAGGAAATTTTTTAGTTGCAGGTGGGCTCTTTGAGCTATACTTTCAGTCTGCTGGGCAGATGTCCAGTCTCCTCTGCTGTGTAGGGGGATTATGTTGGAAAGGTGTGAGAAGCCTTGCTCTAGAGTTTTCCAAATCCCAGACAATCACACACCACCTTGTACCTCAGCTTCATTTTTTTTTTTTAAATCATGGATTATCTTTACAGTTAACGATTATTTTTCTTTAAAGTGACTCATTTTTAAACCTTGAACTTATTTTTAAAAGATAGCCTTGTATTATTCTATAAATAAAAAACCCAGTATCCTCCTGATATAAATAGAAAGGAAGATCTATAGGAATACATATAATGGAAACAAATACTAATAAGTTCAGTTTAGATTCTATTGCCTGCTAAAGGTTTCGAGCTTGAGACCTACTCTCTTATCTTTGATAAAAAGGGAGATAAACAAGTGTTGGAGAGGTATTAAAGATATTAACACCAAAATCTGACTTCCTCCTTGATATAATCATAAGGTTTGAAAGATAATTGAAAAGGGATTTTTTTTTCACTTCATGAGTAAATATTATTTAATTCCAGTCTGTGAACCACCTGTAAGCTTCCCTTGATTTGAGAAAATTGTCTTGACCAGATTGGCTGTGCTGGAGAAGACCCTGCCCTCTTCCACAATCACCCTAAGATCTTCTAAACCCCACTTTGGGCCCAACTCCTGGGAACTCATCTTGGTTAACCACACTTCAAGCAAGGACTCCTGACCTAGAGAAGAACTCTTTCTAACACTGTTACAGTTACACCATCAGTTCCTCTTCTAAATCTATTTGTGCTTTCTTTTTGAGAATGGGGTCAAGAGTGGCCATTTGTATTCCATTGCAAAGAAAAATTTTGGCATTGTTTTGTTGATCTACTTAGCCCTTTCAGTGGCATTCTTTATCACTCCATATATACCCTCATCGTAAGGACGAATCTCCTACATACTTAGTGGTGTTGGTGAGCATTTGTGAACCTTGTCCCCCTGCCCCACCATGGCTGTGAAAATGGAACCCGGGGAAGGCAGAGATTGTCTGTTTTGATCTCTGGTGTATCTCCAGCATGCAGAATCTGGCATTCAGTGGGGGCTTAATAAATATTTGCTTAGTGAATGGCAAAAAGGACTGACTGGCCTAGAATAGGGACACTGGGAGGGTTTAGTTAGAGCCAAGATGTGTACATGTGAGCAAGCGCAGCAAAGAGCCAGAAGACCTATTGCTCAGCTCCATCTCCAGCCATCCGGGATTTCCTTCAAAGCTCCACCTTCCCAACCTCTTCCTGTTTTCAAATCCCTTATATTTATGGAGCACAATACCCAGAACCACAGGACGATACTGAGATGAATCAACTGAGAAACAGGAGAAGGGAAGCCAAGACAAGAAACCCCACAGACCTATTTCCCTGCTCACCCGGTGAAGTCCTCACCTCACTGCTCCCACCCAGGTTCCTGCCCTGCTAGTTCTGTGTTCGCCCCAGCCCTGCTAGCTGTGAATGAATAAAGGTGAATATACTCGCAATTGTTTCTGCCTGGATCTCACTGCTGCCTCTTCATCTCCACACCTTCTTGCTTTTCTGATTCAGGGATCACTTGTCTATTTGTTTTCTCTCACTAACCCTTTTACAGGTAGGACATAGCAGGATTACTCACCTTGGATCCATAGAGGTAATAAGGCTGGACATTAGCAGGTTTATCTCTTTGTGGTTCTTGCGTGAAAGGAATGGCGGTTCGGACAAAACTAGTAGAAGAGAAGAGATGGGGCAGAAATTAATTTGGTCCTAATATTGTTCTCCATGGGACATAACAGAGTGGGAGCCCTTCTTGCCCAGGTGAAGTTTCACACTGGCACAACAGCACCCACCATTTCTTAGGTGGTTGTCTATAAAGCTACCAACCTCTCCTGACATCCTTTCATTCAACCACTGTACCCTCTCCATAGATGGGGAAACAGCAGTCCAGATTTACAAGCTTGATGTGGGGCTTGTGGCTGCTTAGAAGGGCAGTGGGCTGGCCTGAAAATGGCCCTTTTCCAGGACTCCATTCCTTCAAACCCAGCTTAGTTTATCAAGAACAGGGGCCAGCAAACTTCTTCTGCAAAGGTCCAGACTAAATATTTTAGGCTCTGTGGGCCATACAGCTTCTGTCACAACTACTTAATTCTGACACTGCAAGGTAAAAGCAGCCACAGAAAATACATAAACAAACGAGTGTGGCTGTGTTCCAATAAACTTTATAAGTTTCAAGGAATTTTCACTTGTCATCAAATATTATTATTAGGGTTTTTTTTTTTTTTTAATCATCAAAAATGTCAAAGCCATTCTTAGCTCATGGGCTGTGCAAACACAGGTGGTGGCCTGGATGTGACCTACAGGTTGTAGTTGCTGATCTCTGCTCAAGACAGTTAAATGTTTCAATTCTTTAGAGAACTAGAAGTCTGTCTTGCTAAGTGTGTGGATTGAGATGCCTTCGTGGATTCCTTCCTTAAGTGTGTGGATTCAGTTGTCTTTTTAGATTTCTATCCATTCAACACGTACTTATGTAATACTGGCCCTAAGGATACTGAGAGGACCTGCATATGTGTACATTTTTGTGCATCCTTATGTACCTTATGTTCCTGGGTGGTACAAAACGGTTAACATACTTGGCTGCTAATCAAAAGGATGGAGGTTCGAGTCCCCCCAGAGGTGTCTTGGAAGAAAGGCCTGATGATCTACTTCTGAAAAATTAGTCATTGAAAACCCTATGGAACATAGTTCTACTCTGACACACATGGGGTCAACATGAGTTGGAGTCGACACCACAGCAACTAGTTTTACGTACTTGTGTACATGTCTCACCTCTTCAACCAGGTTATGAACCTCTGTGGGAATGTAGAGATTAGGAATTGAGTGTACCTCAGTGCCTGGTCCAGGGCCATGCAGCTTGTGGCAGACATGTCCCGCTTGTTATGTGTAGGTGTGCTCTGCAAATGTACACCTGTTTCACACACATGGATTCAGATGACGTGGATGTCCTTGTAAAAGTACAATCTGATCACATCTCTTCCCTGTCTCAAACTCTCAGAAGGCTCGTAAAAGCCTGATCCTAACATGGCCTACAGAGGCATCCTGGTCTGCTTCCTGCTTCCTCCTGTGTCCTGCCTTGTCTTTCACAGCAACATTCTGCATCCTACCCATTCCACCCTCACCAGTCTCTTAGAAACTTTGCCTGGCAGATTCATACTCATCTCTTGCCACTTCACCTTATTTATTCCTACTCCTCTCTCGCATCTCAGCTCAAGCATTACTTCCTCAGAGAGGCCTTCCTGAGGTTCACACCCCCTTCCTGGACTGGATCAGGCAGCCCAGTTACCCCCTCACGGCTCTGTGGGCCTTCTTCATTTTGTTCATTGTTTGTGACGTTTGTCATGCAATTGTTTGATCACGAGCATCCTCCTCTAGCCTGAGGGCTCCAAGAGGCAGGAAGGTGTCTGCTTGCTCAGTGCGGCCATCCCCAGCCTCCAGTAAAGAGCCTGCACTAAGCAGGGGCTCAGTGAAATGCCTGTCATAGGAATGAACCGACGTGCACTGGGCCTGGTTTGGAGGAGGCAGGTGGCTGCTCCCCTGACTCGGAGCCCCAGCCCGCTTTGCCCAGGGACTCGCTCACCGGTTCGTGGATCCATTGTAGCAGTAATTGGGGAGGAAGTCAAAGTTGAGCTCCCAGAAGACGTGCAGAGTGATGCGGCCGTAGGGAGCAGACACGTTGTGATTGGCCTCCCGGAACATGGCATCGAAGCTGTCCAGGGTCATGTGCTTACACAGCAGGCGGTGCGTGAGCCGGTTGATCTCCAGTAGCCACTCCAGCTCCTGCCCAGAGAGAACCCCAGCTGCTGAGGACTTCGGCATCAATCTTACACACACACAACACTTTGTCTTACAGACCCCTTTCATGCAGGTGTGAGAGCCCCTCAAGCTCCTAACCACATACATGGGGACCAGGACCTGCAGTGACATGTGACAACTTCCCCTTCTTCTGAGAAGCAGAAGGAATTGCCAGACTATGCTGAGGGGGCTGCATATCTGCCCCAAGAAAGAGACCCCATACCCTGTGCAAACTCCTGTTTAAACTGGAAACCTTGCTTGCTATCCAGTTTCTATACTGGTGAGGAAAAATCTGTCTCTTAGTGTCACGAGTAAAGCAAAACAATATGATGACTGGATATCACCAAAGGTTACATCTCTGCCCTTCAGAAGATAACAACAAGAGCTTATCATCTATTCAGTGATCTATTAAGTGCTGACAATTAGATGGAACCTAATAAAATCGCTATTTTAGGTCAAATTCTGTCAAATATCAGCAATTTTGTATGGTCGAACTTAAGAGTGTGCCAACGGGTTAACTCATTTAAGGGTCATAAAAACCCTATCATGTCAGGATCACTACTTTCCTTATTTTACACATATAGAAATTGAGACCTTGAGAAGTTAAGTAACTTGGTTTCAAATCCAGGAGGCTGGGCTCCAGAGTCCACATTCTTAACCACTGTATACTACAGCTCTCTAAAGAAATCTGTAAACAAGGTAGGGGCAAAAGTTCTCCCTTGGACTGTAGGTAGGTATCTCGGTTGCACGGGGGTTGCTCACCTGTGCCAGCTGTTATGACGCAAATTGTGTCCCCAAAAATATATGTTCATATCCTAACCTGTGGTACCTGTGAACGTGACCTTGTTTGGAAACAGGGTCTTTGTAGATATAATCAGATTAAGATGAAGATATACCAGAGTAGGGTGGGTCCTAATCCAATGACTGGCATCTTTATAAGAGGAGGAGACACAGAGACACAGGAAGACAGCCAGGTGATGACAGAGAGAGACTGAAGCGATGCTACCACAAGCCAAGAAACATCACAGATTGCTGGTAATTGCCAGAAGCTAGAAGCTCCCCTCGAGCCTTCTGAGATAGAGCATGGCCCTGCCAATACCTTGATTTTGGATGTCTAGCCTCCAGAACTGTGAGAGACTAAATGTCTGTCATTTTAAGCCACCCAGTTTGTGGTACTGTGTTAAAACCAATATGCCAGTGCAGGAAGCAAGCCACGGGCAAACTCTTTGCAGTCTGTCCAGAGGGTAAATATAAAGTGTGAGAACTGAGTGGATAATACTCAGACACAGCAGGACACTGCATTGGCTGGGAAATAAAGGAAGAGAGAAACCATTTTGGCTGGCTTTGGCCCTTTGTTTTGTAACTTCTCGATCATTGCTATCACAGAGAATCACAGCACAGTCCTGTCCAGAGGGAGGGGCATCCCTAACTTTGTGGAACTCCAGGACACTCTTGTGCTGTTTTGGTTAAGCTGTCTTGTGAGATTGCTACAATGATCCTGTTTTATAAGAGGAGAAAACTGAGGCTAAAGATTAAATCACTTGGCCCAGGTCACACATACGGGGCTTCGGGTATGAATCCAGGTCTTCTGATTCCAAATCATATGTTCTTGGCCCCTGGGATACAGCTGCCTAAAATAACTACAAGAACATCAGTGAAGGCAGTACATCAGAGCCTGGCCAGGAGGTGGGGTGGTCTGCTGGTCAGCTTTAATGGCTGGGACTAGAGCTAATTGGTCTAAGGTCACAAGATGGAGCCCGGCCCTAAGGATTCAATTTTATTGTCCTCAGCCACAAGCCCCCCACAACCTTGGATGGAGTCCAGAGATGGTCAAGTGGAGGCCTAAGATCAAGGTTCCATTCTTGAAGCTCTGCCTTTCTGAAACTCAGATTCTTTGGTTCCAAAATGGGTGTTGGACTGGATCAAAGCTTGCAAACTTAAATGGCTCTAGGGGTGAACAGGTCAGGTAAGTGAGACAGGCTGGGGCAGGAGTCTTGGGGATGGGTTGTCTGTGGCAAATCAGAGAACCCATGCCCAGCTAAGGCAGAGCTGCTACTTAACTCCAGCTGATTGTTGCCACATCCAAATGCAGCTTAGTGGTGGCAGATCGTGTCATTTTTCAAAAAAAGGTTGAAATGGATTTAAATGCTGGCAACTAAAAAAAAAAAGGATAACCTCTGTACAGACCAAAGAAAACATCCATGGAGCCAATGTGTTGGGTGGCCAGTCTGCTCCTCTGCACTGAAGCTCTCTGCCCGTGGCTTGTCAGAGACTCACTCCAGGCCATGGAGGGTTATGTGATTGTGTTAGGAAAAACAGGTCTTCATCTTTTAGAGCTACATACTGAAAAATTTATAGCTAGAATGACATGATGTCTGGAACTTGCTTCGAAATGACCTGGGGTTGGGGATAAAAGTGGGGGTAGAAATCAAACTAGTTGGCTATACACTGATAATTGAGCCTGGGTGATAGATAAAGAGGGTCCATTGGACTCATCTCTCTACTTTTGCATATGCTGGAGTTTTTCCATAAGAAAAAAAGAGTTTAAGCATTAATTTAAAAAAAGAAGAAGAAGAAGGCGTCAATTCCATTAGCTTCTTCACTCGGGGCTGCCATCTGCCTAAACTGAGAAAAAGGTAAACTCTTGGTTCCCTGGGTGATGGCAGAGGAAGAAAGGAAAGTGGTGATGAGACATTACAGGACCAGAAGCAGAATGGCGCTAAGAGACCTCAGGGCCTGGGCAGAGATAAGAGACTGAAGAGGAGCCAGGCAGGGTTGGCCTCTGGGAGGGAGGAAAGGATTCTAGAACAGCAGCCAGAAGAACAAGTTTCCAGCCACTGCACAGTGCAGTCGATGAAGGACAGAACCACAGAATCCATTTTCTGCTTCTGTATGTTGGGGCCTAGCTAGCTTGACTGTACTTTGTTCCCACTCACTCAGGATGGGTAAAACAATAAAATAAAAATAAACTGAATAAATGCTAATGTGTTTATTTCCAAGATTACTGAGTCCCTTGGCACTAAGGTTCCCTGTTACTAGGAAGATAACTGCAGATGAGAAACAGGGGAACAATTTCTGCTCTAACGTTCTGTGATTTCAACGGTCTCACAAATGCGATGAGTTCAGACGTGTTTCTCTGTTCTGTAATTCAATCTGTGTCCTTGCATTGTGCATCATGTGTTCTTCAGCCTTAGAATCAGAAGTGCATTTGCCTGCTGGACTCGGGACTCAGTGTAACCAGGCATGGAAGGCTTAAAAGCCATGTGAGTGGCTTAGGGGCCTTCCAAGAAGATACTAGCTTTCTGCAGTAAAGCCAACATACTGAGTGGCAACACAGAAAAGCAAAATTGGGGTAGGGGACATAAAACACCCAAATGGGCAACTTCTGTGAAGTAGTAGAAGGAATTCTTCAATGGTGGCCAGAAGATCTGAGTTGTAGCCACACTTGATTTTTCGCCAGCTCTGTGACCTCAGGTATGTGAGAAGAACAGGGGTCTCAAACTTAGGCACAGTGAGGCTCGGTGTGTACTACACATGATGAACTGGGCTACAGTTTGGGCTTCAGACAAACTGAAGAGAGCAGGACATGTCTAATGGGAACTTCTAGTCATTTCTAGGCAACCGCTGCCATCTAGGAATGCCACTCTGATGTTGCCAGAGTTTCTGCATTTTTATTTGAATTCTTCCAAATGTGAAATGTTGGCTCAAAATTTCAAATACACTATGCAAAACACAGCCTGCAGGCTGCCAGTGTTTAACTTCAGGGTCAAGTCTCTCCAGGAATCTATTTGCTCAGTTATGTAAAATGAGGTAACCAATTGACAAATCTCCACAACCTCTCCCAGCTCCAAATCAAGCTGCCTCCCCACCACCACTCAGAATGGAGTTTCTAAGGTGGAGGAAGGGGCTGAGGGCAGCACATTCCTTAGTTTATTGCTTGGTAGAGGCAGAAGTTTCTTAGCCAAGATGAGTGAGACTGTCCTGACCCCAAAAGGACAGAGCTTTCCTGGGGTGTCCTCTTTGTGGGCTTCACAGGAAGTGGGTACTCCCAGGGAACTGTTGCCCTTACCTGATAAACCAAGGCTTTCCCTTGTTTTGATTTTTTTCTCAGCTAAAAGAACATTCAGTGCCTTTCAAGGGGTGGGAAAAGGCCCTGGACACATTTTTTTTAAAAACAACAAAATCACCATTTTTTCCCTATAAGATATATTCATCATTAAACCAAAACCAAAACCACTGCTATCGAGTTGACTCCGGCTCATAGTCACTGGAACCTAGATGATGCAGATAAGCAAAAAAGAAGAAAACAAAAATCTCAACACTGCTAACCTTTTGGTGTAAACAAAGTACAATTCTATTTCTCAAAATAGAAGTGGCCAAATTATTTCCCAGCAGAACATGTGCTATATTAGAGTCTCTTGAAATAACTGACCCAGGGCTGAGGTGCGCAGTTGGGCCACATCCTTTTATGAAATACTGCTGGAAATTCTTCCTGATAGAATTTCATCAAAGCCAACAATTTCTGTGCTCCTCTCATCCTCTTTTCACAGAAGATCTCATTTCATCCTTATAACAACCCTGTGAGGTGGATTCTATTACTTCCTCCATTTTACAGACAAGGAAACAGGCTTGGAGAAAGTAAGGACCTTGCCTGAGATCACGCAGCTGGTAAGTGGCAGAGCCAGGACCAACCCCAGGTATTCTGACTCTACAGCCTTAGCTTAAACGCCTTATTTTTACCACTTAAAAAAAAAAAGAAACAAACCCTTTTTATTTTGAAATAATTTTAGACTTACAGAAAAGTTATAAAAAGAGCAGAGTTCCTGCATACCCTTCATCCAGCTTCCCCAGTGTTAACATCTTGCATAGCTATAGTAGAATCATCAAAACTAGGAAATGAATGCTGGTATAATCCTATTAACTAAATGACAGACTTTTTTATTTAGATCTAAGATTTTACCAGATTTTCCACTAATGCCCTTTTTTTGGTTCTCAGATCTAATCCAGAGTACCACATTACATATAATTGCTATGTCTCCTTAGCTTCTTCCCATCTGTAACAGTTCTAAGTCTTGCCTTATCTTTCATGACCTCTAAACTTTTGAAGAGTAATGTCTACTTTTTTATGTGTATATGGAATGCCTCTCAATTGGGTCTGTCTTATATTTTCTCATGATTTGACTGAGATTTTTATTTTGCCAGTAATACCAGAGAAGAATATCATTTGAGGGGGTTCAGAATATTAACATATCTCATTTCTGTGATGTTAACCTTGATACTTGATTAAAGAGGTTTCTGCTGCATTTCTCCACTGTAAAGTTGCTATTCTTTCCTCTGTAGCTAACAAATATCTTGGGAGAGACAGTTTGAGACTGTGCAAGTACCTTGTTTCTTCTCAAATTTTGCCCTCTAATGTTAGTATCCATCTTGCCCGCAACAATTATTACTGTGTTGTTCTAACAGTGATATTCTATTTCCCGAATTCTTCTCCTCATCTATTTTTGAAAGCATTAAAGTCTTCCTTTGATTCCCTTAAATCCTGATCAATTAAGTCTATTCTAATTCTTGGAGAGAGAATTAATGGAGGACAGTTCAAATTGCTATTTTATGGGAGAAGGGAGAGGGCTGGTCCCGTTTGTATAACAGGATCAGCTATATAATTGGTGGGGCACAGTATAAAATGCTAACATGGGGTCCTTTGTTTAAAAATTATTAAGAGTTTCAAGATGGAGACAGCAGAGCATTAAACCCAGTGCAGGGCCCCTCTGAGCATGGGACCCTAGGTGACTGAAAGGTCATGAAGCCAGCCCAGCATGTACTCTTCCCCGGATTCTTTGGATCACCCACCCACTTGCTCTCCTCTGCAGAATCCTAAAGGACAAGCAGCTATGCTTGAGGGTTGGCCAGCTCTACAGATTTCAAGAAGATCCTTCCCACCCAGTGAATCTGGGGAAGGGCTGGCAAAGTATACTCATTCTGCTTGTCTTTTTGTTTCCTGATCCATTCAGAGGGGAAAGAGACTCCCTGCTTTTCCTTGGCTGGCCCAGTACTAGACTAAAGAGGATCCACAGCTAAGCTTCTCGTCTCTAGAATTCCAGAGCAGAACGCCCGTCAGCTCCCAGCCTCTTACCACGATGGAGGTCAGGTCTTCACTCTCAAAGCGGCTGATGGCCTGGTCGAGGGATTTATACATGGCAGCAGAAATGCGCTGGGTGATAAGTCTATTCAAGTCAATGGATCTACCCAACAGCTATATGGAAGACAGAGAGAGAGGTTACTTATGATTCACACAGACACATGACAACTAAATGAAATGCACTCATAGGAAATTGGATTAAAATTATAAAGGACATTGCTGGGACAACTGGGGACTGTATGTAGAAAACTGTATTGTTATATTTCCTGAGTATGATAATTCTACTGTGATTTTTTTTAGGAGAACGTCCTTGTAATTAGAAGATACAGATTGAGGTTTTCAGAAGTCAAGTGTCATGATGTAAGTGTCAACTTGCTCTCAAATGGTTAAGAAAAAAAGTATACATAATATATATGTATATATATACACACACACATATATAGACTACGTATAAAAATATATGTATACATACTACAGTCACGCATCCCTTAATGTCCACAATAGGAAATAGGACATTATGAAGTAGGATGTTATATGATTTGGATGTCGTGTCAACGAGTCTGTGGGGAGTGGGGCTCCAGCGCACAGGAGCCCAGGGGCTGCTGTGTTGCAGCTCCTGCTGTGGAGGCTTCAGGTGAGCACTCCACTGGGTCCTGCCAGGCGTGCGGCCCCGCAGCCCCGTCATGGTGGGGAAGCTCCGGGCGCAGGGAGCAGGGGAACGGCCTTGGCGACCCAGCCCTGGTTTGGCCCTGAGATGCCTGCCGACCTTGGGTGCTTGGGAGCAGGATTGGGCGCTCCCTCATCCCAGTGGCAGCACTGTCTTTTCCCACGGGGAGGGAGGTGATGGGGCAGCTCACTGCAGAGTCGGGCTGTGGGCATCCCCCAGATGGGCGTGCTGGACCACAATGTATACGCAGTGGAATGCTGCCTGAACAGACATCATACACCACATGACTATACTATATATATAAACAGATATATATTTGTTGTTAGTTTCCGTTGAGTCAGCTCCAACTCATGGTGACCCCACGTACAACGAATGAAATGTTGCCCAGTCCTGTGCCATCTTCACAATCATTGGTTGTCTTGGTCATCTAGTGCTGCTGTAACAGAAATACAAGTGGATGGCTTTAACAAAGAGAAGTTTATTTTCTCACAGTCCAGTAGGCTAGAAGTCCGAATTCAGGCTGTCAGCTTCAGGGGAAGGCTTTCTCTCTTTGTCAGCTCTGGGGGAAGGTCCTTGTGATGCATCAGTCTTCCCTTGGTCTGAGAACATCTCAGCGCAGGAACCTCAGCTCCAAAGGATGCGTTCTGCTCCCGGCACTGCTTTCTTGGTGATATGAGGTCCCCGTGTCTCTCTGCTCACTTCTCTCTTTTATATCTCAAAAGAGACTGGCTTAAGATACTATGTAATCTTGTAAATCTCATCAATAACTGCCACTAATCCATCTCATTACATCATAGTGATAGAATTTACAACACGTAGGGAAATCACATCAGATAACAAAATGGTAGACAATCATATAATAATGGGAATCATAACCTCGCCAAGTTGACAGATATTTTTGGCGGACACAATTCAATCCATGATATGGTATACTCGAGTCCATTGCTGTTGCCACCGTGTATTTTGAGAGCCTTTGAACCTAGGGGTCTCATTTTCCAGTACTATATCAGAAAATATTCTGTGATCCATAGTGTTTTCACTGGCTAATTTCTGGAAACAGATTGCCAGGCCTTCTTCGTAGTCTGTCTTAGTCTGGAAGCTCTGCTGAAACCTGTCCACGATGGGTGACCCTACTGGTATTTGAAATACCAGTGGCATAGCTTCCAGCATCATAGCAACATGCAAGCTACCAAAGTATGACAAACTGACAGATGGGTGGTGGAGAAATACATGTATAGACATATATAAATGAGAGGCGTGTGAGAAAACATATACATGAGAAAGTGAAGCAAATGTGGCAAAACATTATTACCAGTTAGTCTGGTTAATGAGTGTATGAATATTCACTGTATGATTCTTACAACTTTACTGTAGGTTTGAAATAGAAAAAGTTTAGTTAAAATAAGACTCATTCAGACTGTGGGAAGAGGCTTAGGCAGACTTTGGTGTCCTGCACAATGCTTCTGCTGACATCCTAAATTTAGCCCTGAGGTTCTTCCTGCATTGTTCCTGTGCTCCACTTTACAGTTACCAGGGAACAGCAGCCACCTCAGCCAGGACCTACTTTGTGCCTTTAGGGGGTGAATTTAAAAGCAAGAGGATGAAGGACTGATTACAGCATGGGAAATACCACTTACGATAATTTCCACTGGGGTACACATGGGCCTTATCGCAGACGCTACGTAGATAACGATAAACATTTATTGAGTACCTGCTGCATGCACTGCACTTTACTAGGTGCCAAATGATTATTCTCAAGGATTTTATCTTTTCTACCTCCCTTTTGGGATAAATTTTCTACCTACTGACTGGGCCCCTTATAGCCATCTTGTGTACACGTAAAGCTCTCAGTATTTAATATCCTGTGGCTAATTCTGGCTGCATCTGCAACTGATGGCAGTAATCTTCTGAGGGAAAGTTCTGTTTGAGCCCCTGCTGTTGGTGGAGGTGAAAATGTACTTATTACTCTTATTATTTTCCATTTCCCTTGAATTTCTCATGGCAATTGAGATGTCCAGGTTTTCCAGGGTAAACACTTTCCTTTTGATCTTCTTGGCCTCTGCCCTGCTCATTCACCTGAGTCTGTTCCACAGAGATCATGGACCACATAATAAGCACACTGAGATCACAACACAAAGGCCATCTCGCTACCAGTTTGGCTCCCAGCAGGGCCCTGGAAGTAGGTCAGCACTTATTTTGTCCATCTGGCTCATATTAACATCTTCAAGTGGGGGTAAAAATGCTCCAAGTAGCATTTCCTCTGTATCTGGGAACAAGTGTTAACAGAAACCAGCACCACAAAAACAAACCACAGTTTCTACCTTGGGTTTTACCTGACACACTTCATTTCAAAGGTGAGGCAGCCCGCCTTCACTCAGACCAGCATCTGAGCCCTGTTCATGGACCACTGTTGTTAGCTGCTGTGGAGTCGGCCCCCGGCTCATGGCAACACCATGCACAATAGAACAAAATATTGCCAGGTCCTGCGCCAATCCCCCAGATTGATTGCAGATCGAACCACTGTGATTCATAGGGTTTCAACAGCTGATTTTTGGAAGTAGATCGCCAGTTCTTTCTTACTAGTCTGTCTTAGTATGGAAGCTCTGCTGAAACCTGTTCAGCATCATAACAAAATGCAAGCCTCCACTGACAGATGGGTAGTGGCTGTGCATGAGGGCCATAAAGATTACAGACTTGTATGCAGTTCTCCTGCATGGAAGGTGAGAATTCTACCACTGAACCAGTTGTCCTGACTGAAAGAGTAGGTTTCAGCTTTAGTGGCCACAGCTCATCAGAGGTGAGCTGCAGATGGACCAAGAAGGCAGGAACCTGAACCAAAAGGAAGCCCCGATGCCTCCTTACTGTATATAAGATTCTGAGGCTGTTACACCTATGCTCAGAAGTCCACAGCTGGGCAATACTCAGGGTGGACAGGACACAGTCCCGATTTCCTATCTCTACACTAACTTCACAACTACGCTCTCCTGTCCATCCCATCTCCACGGTGGCTTCCATTCCCCATACCTGAACGTGTCTCTGTTTCAGCAGCGTCTCATAGCGGTTGGATGGTGGGTATGGAATGATGACTCCATAATTCTTACACTCAGCTCTAAAACGTTTATCCAACAGGACACTGAAAGAGAAAAAAGTTAAATAAGGCCAGTAAATATGACAGTGAATGGCAGGTTCTCAACTTCCCAGCTACATCTATTTTAGGCCATAGGATCTACCTATGAAACGCTAGCTTATATATTTCAAATACAATTTATTCTGCTCTGGAACAAAGTTCTTCACATTTTTTTTTCAGTCAGAGAAGAAGCCCAATATGTGAAGTGGTTTCTAAGTTAATGATGGGAGAACAGAGGTCCAGCAGCTTTCTTTTATTCATTCAACGAAAGAGTAATTGGGTGCTTGTTATGTAAAAAAAAAAGTAATTGGGTGCTATGTTGAGGATACAAAGTTCCTGTCCTCATGGAGCTTACATTCTAGTGAAGAAAGACTGATAATGAAGAACTATGCTGAGGAATGATATAATTTCAGACAACAGTAAACATCAGCATAGTGCTTACTATTTACCAGGCACTTTATAGAAACACAGAACCCTGGTGGCACAGTGATTAAGAGCTTTGCTGCTAACCAAAAGGTCAGCAGTTTGAATCCACCAGCCACTTCTTGGAAACTCTATGGGGCAGTTCTACTCTGTCCTGTTAGGTCACTATGAGTTGGAATTGACTTGATGGCAATGGTTTTGGGTTTTACAGAAATACACACACATACACTCATGTTTAATCTCACAACAACCCTATAAGTTAGGTGCACTATTATTATCTTCGACACTGAGGCACAGATTGCAGACAGAATAATAAGTACTCTGAAAATAATAAAATGGGATCATTTGGGGTTAGGTCAGGAAAGTCTTTCTAAAGAGGTTTTCTGAACAGAGATTTGAATGAGAAAAATGGCCAGTATGGATAAAGGGTAGGGAAGACTAGGGAGCATGGTGCAAAAATGAATTTATAAAGTTGGTCTAGGGGCCAGAACACATGGGACCTCATAAGCCACAGTACAGAGGTTAGATGTACCCTAGATGCAACGGGAAGCTGTTCAAAGGTTTGAAGTAGGAAAGTGATAAAATCTACCTTGGCACTGCTCAATATTCAATATGGAAGTCACCACCTGCATGTGTCTACTGAGCACCTGAGGTATGATGGCTCCAAATTGAGATATGCTCTACATGTAAAACACACACTGGTTTTTGGAAGACAGAAAAAAAGAATGTAAGACAGCTGTTGAGTAATTTTTATATTGATCACATGTTGAAATGATAACATTTTGCATACACTGGGTTAACCAATTGCCATCAAGTCCATTCCAACTCATAGTGACCCTATAGGACAGAGTAGAATTGCTCCATAGGATTTCCAAGTCTGTAATCTTTATGACCCTTACGTGTCTGTCAGTTTGTCATTCTGTAGGGGCTTGTGTGTTGCTGTGATCCTGGAAGCTATGCCACCAGTATTCAAATACCAGCAGGGTCACCCATGGCGGACAGGTTTCAGCTGAGCTTCCAGACTAAGGCATTCATTCGACTGTGTGGATCATAACAAATTATGGATAACACTGCGGAGAATGGGAATTCCGGAACACTTAATTGTGCTCATGCGGAATTTGTACATGGATCAAGAGGCAGTCATTCGAACAGAACAACAGGATACTGCATCGTTTAAAGTCAGGAAAAGTGTGCGTCAGGGTTGTACCCTTTCACCATACCTATTCAATCTCTATGCTGAGCAAATAATTTGAAAAGCTGGAGTATATGATGAAGAATGGGGCATCAGGATTGGAGGAAGACTCATTAACAACCTGCATTATGCAGATGACACAACGTTGCCTGCTGAAAGTGAAGAGGACTTGAAGAACCTACTGATGAAGATCAAAGATCACAGCCTTCAGTATGGATTACACCTCAATACAAAGAAAACAAAAATCCTCATAACTGGACCAATAAGAAACATCATGATAAATGGATAAAAGACTGAGATTGTTAAGGATTCCACAATCAACACCTATGGAAGCAGCAGTCAAGAAATCAAAAGACGCATTGCATTGGGCAAATCTGCTGCAAAAGACCTCTTTCAAGTGTTGAAAAGCAAAGATATCACCTTGAAGACTAACATGCGCCTGACCCAAGCCATGATGTTTTCAATCGCCTCATATGCATTCAAAAGCTGGACAACGAATCAGGAAGACAGAAGAAGAACTGACATCTTTGAATTGTGGTGCTGGCGAAGAATATTGAATACACTACGGACTGCCAGAAGAACGAACAAATCTGTCTTGGAAGAAGTACAACCAGAATGCTCCTTAGAAGCAAGGATGACTTTGGACATGTTATCAGGAGGGATCAGTCCCTGGAGAAGGACATCATGCTTGGTAAAGTAGAGGGTCAGCAAAAAAGAGGAAGATCCTCAACGAGATAGATTGACACAGTGGCTGCAACAATGGGCTCAAGCGTAGTAACAATTGTGAAGATGGTTCAGGACCAGGCAGTGTTTCGTTCTGCTGTGCATGGGGTCACTATGAGCCGGAACTAACTCGATGGCACCTAACAACAACAATCTTTACGGTAGCAGACTGCCACATCTTTGTCCTGCAAAGCAGCTGGTGAGTTCGAACCGTCCACGATTCAGTTAGCAGATGAGCGCTTTAACCACTGCACCACCAGGGCTCCTTTATATTGAGTTAAAACCAAACAAAAACCAAACCCATTGCCATCCAGTTGATCCCAACTCATAGCAACCCTATAGGACAGAGTAGAATTGCCCCATAGGGTTTCCAAGGAGCAGCTGGTGGATTCGAACTGCTGGTCTTTTGGTTAGCAGCCAAGCTCTTAACCACTGCACCACCAGGGCCCCTTATGTTGGGTTAGGTATGAAATATTATTAAAAGTAATTTCACTTGTTTCTTTTTCCATTCTTAAAAATAACTAAAAAAAATAAAACTTAAAAATTCTGTATGTGGCTCACATTTGTGGCTGTAGTATATTTCTATTGGACATGGCTAATCTAGACTATTCTTCCCCTTCTGTGCTTTCTCCCAACTTCTTAAACTCTCTCAACTTCCAATATTTTTGAAAACCATAGTCTTACGGGGCAGGGCCTAGATTAAAGAAAGGATTTCAGGTGGGGATAGTTTGTAAACTAAATATACAAAGGACCCAGGGTTTAGTAAGTCTAAGTTTGTTTATAGGGATAATGGATCAGTATATTTGAAATCAGAATTGTCTTAGAGAACCTGGAAGCCCAGCTCTCTGCTGTGACCACATCCCATTCAATCCACAAACACTTGTTAAGCAAGTACTTTGGGAAAGGCCCTGCGTTCTCTGTGCTTTTTCTGACATCATGATTATATGCTTTCTATACTTTCTATCACTTAAGAGTCATTCACTTTGTTTAATACACATCTCGTGTTAACAGAAATGTATGTGCACTGCAAAATCTTGCACATCAACTCCTATTTGAAATTAATCAGAGCAGCTCTAGCTGTCTAAAGCAAAATGAAGCAAATCCGTTTTGCAGAAAGAAAAATAATTTATTAAGGTAAGGAAGTACCCTTGAAGTTACTGGTTTGTACATTTAGATCTCCAATAAGAAGGGAAATACCTGTAAATAAATTTTGAGGTTTTTCTTGACCATTACTACTATGGGTTCTTGAAACCCAGGAATCCATTGGAAGTCTAAATCAATATATATAGGCAATACTAACGAAACCAATGAACCCCAGCAACCTGACGTGTCTTGTCCAGACTTCTTTACTGGCCTCGTATCTGGCCTCACACACCCATTCCTGCACACCTCCAATCCATTTTCCATATTTTTGTACCTTCAAAAGAGTGAACTTTTAAACATAAAAATCAAATTAGGTCACTGTTTTACTTTGGAAACCCTTCCCTGGCTTTTCATTGCTTCTAGGATAAATGCCGAACCTTGCCCTTAGCCTATAAGGCCTGTGTGATCTGGGCCTTGCCTGGTCTTCCAGTTTTATTCCCACGCAGTCTGTCCCCTCTTGTGGTCTGTGCTACATACAGCAACTCTGGCCATGAATAAGACATTTACCCATATTAATTCATGGTAATCCTCTCAACAGCCCTATGAGGTAGGCATGCTATTGTTATTATACTTCCACCACAGGGCCTTTGCCCAAGCAGCTCCTTTTGCTTGCAATTTCTTGTCTCATCCTTCACTTAGTTTTACTTAACTCCTACCAACTTCAGATATGAACTCAAATGTTACTTCCTCAGGAAAGCCTTTCCAGCCTCAACCCCAAAGATTAGCTCAGGTTCAACTGACATACACTCTCACAATCCATTAACTTTCCTTTAAAGGGAGCACGTAGCCTCCCTTTATTCTCTTTGTTTGTTATTTTTTTTAAACTAATGTCTGTCTTCCCCAGCAGACTTTAAGCTCCACTAGGGCCAGTACCACATCTACCTATTTTCCTTTCCACTACATTCCAGCACCTAGCCCAGACCCATGAAATTGCTAAAGAACAAGGGAAATTTTGCAACAGAAAAATCATGTCTTCCTGGCGGAAGCCTTAGAAAGATCACATAGCCCCGGGCCTTTCCTACCTGCCGGCCATGGCTTTGTAGTAAGCAAAGATCTGGTCCGCCAGCTTGTAGACAAACTGATCAAAACACAGGTTCACCTGGTGAAGAAGAAGCAAGAAATGTCAATGGGTGTCTTTAGCACTGTCACGGAAACTTAGGCAACCAGAAGAGGGCTGCCCAAAGTATGTTCCAGGGCAAGACACTTTGAAAGAAAAAAAAAATTCTGTCGTCAAGGATGTGTGGATACACCACCAGCCTTCCAGGATATTTGCAAGTTTGTTAGTAAATTAAAGACTCTGAAAACTCCTACAGTAAAGAAATCAATTTTTCCCCACTGATTTGTTTTTTGGAGACCATTTATTAACATCTATTTCACAGACCCAGGGTTCCACACTTTGGGAAATGGTTCATGGGGTGTTTTAATTTACATGCAGAAGTTTGGTCCCTTGCCCTCAAGGTTAGCCTCAAAGTTAGACAGCAGGGAGGACGAAGTTCAAAAAGGTTGTGAGGACCTGCCCTTCCCACCTCTCCCTCCTGGGCTGTTACCCAGCTGGGAGGGGGATGGGGTGGGGGTGGGGGTGTGTGGAATGAGCAGAGATCTCGTACAGACAGATCTTTATATCCTGAAATTACTCATAAATGAAGCCTAACACTGCAGCCTTCCTAGTCCATCTCTCCTGATAGATTTTCTTGTCTTTCTTTACATTTGATTTTTCCTTACTTTGCAAATTTGGTTATGAAGAAGTTGATGGTCATTAAAAAAAAAACCAAACCAAACCCGTGGCTGTGTCAAGTCGATTTGGACTCATAACAACCTTAAAGGACAGAGTAGAACTGCCCCATAGGGTTTCGAAGGGGTGCCGGTGGATTCGAACTGCCAACCTTTTGGTTAGCAGCTGTAGCTCTCAACCACTACGCCACCAGGGTTTCCACTGATGGTCATTAAAAATTTAAAGAAAAAAACAACAACCTTTTTCCAAACTTTGCTTAAAAATCTTTGGTTTTTAATGATCAAAGAGCCATTGTGACATTTTTAGTGTCTCCTCACATCAGTGATGATTGCAAAGCTCAGGTGGGAAGATGAGTTCCTATCAGACACAGAGGATCTAAACCAAATCTTCCCATAATGGCAAGAACAGGAAAAGGCCAAGGATGGGACTTTAAAGAGAGAGGGCTGTGGCACCGGCAGGGTGTGAATATAACTTCAAAGGAAATAGATTGTATTTAGGTGATTTTTTTTTTTTCTCACCAAATTCTCAGTTTCATGAGGTTAACCCTTTGTTCAAAGAGCTTATACCCAGATGTTATGTAGAACACAGAAACACCGTGCTGTGTGCAATGCTGTCCTTATACTCAGGTAACCAAGGCCTTTGCCCTGGAGATTGAGCTTTAAGGGTCCCCAGTGGGCCCTCCTCTAGGCAAAGACTGTTCAGGGCCAAGGCTGGGGGTGCCCACTCAGACCTCATGGCCCCCTTCTAGAACCAGCTCTGAGTATCCCTGCACAAAAGGCTCAAGCCCTTTCCTGATCTGAACGGTCTTTTCCATGGGGTCATCTGCCTGAGGGTGGACTGCACTATTGTGTGTGTGTGCACCCCTAGGCCCTAGGGTTGACCAAGGGGCCACTGTTTAGGGGCAGGGATGGTAGACTAAGCTTAGGTATCCACACACACATGTGAGGCCCTTCATGGTATGGAAGAGTTTGGAGATGGGAAGGAAAAGAGGGCAGGCTATAAGCTGGGAGGGGTCTCAATTTGTACTTCTGCCTCATGCCTGCAAATGCTAACACAGCCTGCCTGTGTGCTTTCTTTTGAACTTTTAAAATATATGTACCATGTAATGTATAATTATAAGGGAAACGCTTCTGTGGCCATCATCTGGGTTATGACATGAAACACTGCCCACCACCCTAGAACACCCTTAACCCTCCCAATCATAGCTCCATCTCTCTATCCTGACTTTGTGATAATCATTCTCCCCCCTTTTTTTACTTTAAAAATCTCACGTGGACATATGTTACTCTAGATTGTTTATTTCAACCAGCTGGACAACAAGTCCACCCAAAATCTCATTAGAAAATGGGCTTACAACAAATGAGTCCGTCTCCTGTCACCTCCCTTCCAAAGCTCGTGGATTTGCTCAGGAGACACAGAAGACAGACTGGTGTTTATACCCATAGAAATAGGGGGGTTTAGAAACAAAGATGGATCTCTACTAGTTTTTGAAACAGATAAACTTTGAAACTAAAAGTGGTAACTCTTACTCTAAAGCGTTCATATATTTCCTTTGTAAATACGAATGCCTCAAATCTGCATGACAATTTTACCTGATCAGTCTCACTCTGTGTTCTTATAACTCAATGCAGCCAATAGAGCAGAAGCCATTACTCTAATTTCCAGAAAGCAAAATTGAGATATTGCAGTCGTCACTAGAGCTGCTGACTGCGTACTTCCAGTCCTTCTTCCCAGCACAAGGCAGGAGTGTACTTCCTTGACCTGGTTAAGTGAGGCACAACCATGTGACTGGCTTTGACCAATGAAATGTGAGAACTGACTCATGATGTAAGTACCAGAGAGTGATTTACCCTAACCCTTCCCCCTGCCACGGCAACTATGAATGTTCCTGATGGGTCCCAGATTGAACCCAACATGGAGCAGAGCTCCTGGTCAACTGACAATGGAGAAAAACCTTTGCCTTTAACCTGCTAAGAATTTGGATTGTTCGTTACTGCAGGCATAACCTAGCTTATACTGAACATTACAGGACAGGAATAAAACCTGTTAAAAAGCATAGTTACTGAGAGAATGGCTACTGAAGTTCTCTCAGTCCTAGATTAAAATTCTGTAAGCCCTAAAACTGTGCTGGGTACACAGTAAGTACTTAATAAACATGACTTGATTAGAATATCCTGCCTTTTGTACTTGAAGGAAGATGGTATGTGTTAAGTTTCAGAGACAGTGGCGGTGTGTGTCGTGTGTGAGGGGGTATTTCAGAGCTTCAGACACCCCCATAATTTCCAACACCCCCCTACCAAGCCATCCTTAAAACTTTAACATAAGGTGTATAACCTCAGGGTAATAATACTTGACCACTTTAAGCCTCTGATTCATTTTCTGTAAAACAGATAGTGGTATATAATTCTTTAAATTATTGTAAAGATTATTTAAAGCGTCTCTCTATGGTGCTTAGCACCTATAGCTGTTGAGTCAATTCCAACTCATAGTGACCCTATAGGACAGAGCAGAACTGCCCCAAAGGGTGTCCAAGGAGCCAAGTGCTTAACCATTGTGCCACCAGGGATCCCTGTGCTTGGCACAGTGCCTGACAGATGGTAAATATATACTAATTGGTAAGTGGTATTATTGTTGTTGTTGCTATTATTATCCAAGCAATCCAACCATAGAAGACCCACTAGAAAATTAGTTACCTATGTAGTGCTACTGTCTGTTATCCCTTAAGAAATTTGGAAAAGACAGACCATCATCCATTCTAGATCCTTTCTGATGATCATGGACATTTATAAAGATCACTCTCCAGAACAAGTCATCGATCCCTCACTTTGAGCTAATAGCTAGAGATTCGAAAAGTCCAAAATTTTTGAACAAGTTTGCAGGAACAAAAGGAGAAGCTCGTCACTTGCCTCAGCTTCAATCTCATCGTACAGGAACTGCTTTTTAAACTTGGTCAGAGCATAGTAGGCGCTGTCGTTGTACAGATCCAGAGGGTAGAGAACGTATCTGAAGAGAGAAAATAACAGCCAAAAGCTCGCAAATGTTCTTTGTTAAGAACAGGCAGATTTATACTTGCCTGGGAAATATAAAGTGCTGGGCTAAAAGATAAGTTTGGAGTAAGGAACAGACAATCTTTTAGCACTCTATGGTGTCCCCAGAGCCTCCACTTAGGAACTTTGCAGTCTGTCCATAGAAATGAAAGTCCATGATGCTAATAAACCCAAGGCCTGAAAGAAACTGTTGTTAACATCAGTTGCCATCAAGTCAGCCCGACTCATGGTGACCCCATGCACAATGGATCGAAATGCTGTCTGGTCACACGCCATCCCCATGTTTGCTTGTGGACTGGACTGCTGTGATCCATACAGTTTTCACTGGCTGGCTTTCAGTAGATCGCCAGACCTTTCTTCCTAGTCTTAGTCTGAAAGCTTTGCTGAAACAGATTCAGCATCATAGCAACATGCAAGCCTCTACTGACAGATGGGTAGTCGCTGCACTTGAAGTGCATTGGCCATAATCGAACCTGAGTCTCTTGCATGGAAGGTGAGAATTCTACCACTGAATCACCAATGCCTGCTGAAAGAAATTAGTCTTGGGCTAAAAGAAGTCAGGAGGCAGTTAAGGATATTAGCCTCCTGATTCCCAGAGACGATTATTTTCCCAGCATGACTGCTGTGAGACTGGCAAAGTACACGAGAGGCTGTTGGGCTGGTAAACCCTTGAACCTATCTGCAAGGATGAGTCAGACATGCATGACCTGATTGTGGGCCTGAGCTCTCTCCCTGGTGGCCACACTGCCTCATCTCTAATCAACTCAGCACTTCCTTCGGGAATGAACAGAGTGCACTGGCAAACTGCCCTCCACCTGCAGCCTGGGAACCTCCTTGCTGGCCCAGTCCTGTCTCTTACTCCATCATGGAAGGTTCTTTGGTTTCCAGGATATGGTCTGTTAGAATCCATGGCATGGACATCTCAATAGGGAACTGGATTCGCCGGCCCATGGTTAACTCCAGGAAGAATTCTCGGAACCAGAGCTGAGAGAGGTCACAACACTGCTGCAGGGCTTCTGAAAGCATAAAGGAAAGAGCTTTGGGTTACACCTAGAAGCACCCAGAAGTTCACAGTTCTTACTCTTCTTATTATTTTTATTATCATCACTGTGCTAGGTACACAGCAAGTACTTAATATCCTGCCTCTTGTACTTGAAGGAAAGCCTAGCGTCTATTTGGAAAACAGCACGTGTTAAACTTCAGAGACACTGACTGTGTGTGTGGGGGGGAAGGGGATACTTTAGAGCTTCAGACGTCCCCGTAATTTCCAACAACCCCTTCCCCCACCAAGCCATCCACAAAACTTTAACCTAAGTGTAAAAGTATGTTGCTATACAAACACTATACAAGACAGGTCCCCAAGTGCCCACTTTCAACTGGCTGCGGCTCCTTGAACCCTTCCGTAGGGTAATTCGGAATTCCTTACTGTACAGAGGCCTCTAAGGCTCTTCCTAAGCTGCTCTCTAATGGAGAAGTCTGGATTATTTGTTAAGATCACTCTTCAACACCAACAGACACATTACGACTCCCATGTCCCTGGGACACCACTCGTCAGCCATCCTGCCCCGTCCAACCTGGACGTGCATCCTACTGAAGAAGGGAAGAGTGGAAGGACACAGGGGAGACAGGCAGCCTGCAGATGTGAGGAGCAATGAGTACTAATTAGCTCATGGCTGCTGCTGAGCAACAAAAGACCCATCTCCTAGTGCCTAGAGGGTGTATGTGTGTGTGTGTGTGTGTGTGTGTGTGTGCGCGCGTGCGCGTGCATTACTGGTTTTGATCTCCCTCCACTAAGGGCTTAAGCCAAACCAGCCAGTTATCTACTAGCCAAATTTAGCTAAGTCAGTGAGAAACTGAGGCTGGGCTGGGGGGCCTTCCCGCTCCCCAAGTCCACTGGAAAGTGTTATGTCTTCCTTGGTGGCAAACTATGCCCCTTTGGGTCAAAGAATACGTCTCTTTACAACCTGCGGCCCAACAGCCTTAGTGGCTCTGGGACCCGGGGCTCCCTTCTCTCCTCCCCACACCCCACTCCGTCCCTTGCCCAGGTACTGTGGCGCACCACTGATGTTGAGCAGGTGTGTGAAGAAGAAGGACTGCTTGTGGAAGTCCTCAATGGCGAGAACAATGGGTCCATCCAGGCTGCTTCTCAGGGTCTTCTTGGAGCCGCTTTTGTCTGCGATGAGCGATTCCAGCATGGTCCTCACCATGTACAGCTTGAAAAGAAAGTCAGATGAGAAGGTCAGGGCCAGCACTCTGTCACAGGGAGAAGGTTGCTTTCTGCTCTTTTTTATTTTTTGTTTGTTTTTTATTTTTCAGCAGATGCCTGCTCTTAAAAAGCATTGTCTCAAGGAAGTTGAGGGTTGGAGAAGTGAATTTTGAACTAAGAAAACTTTCAAGAGGGAGACTAGTCAGCTCACAAGAGATGTGCCACCCAGGGTCCTGCAGTGTCCCCGGCAGGTGAACCTAGTGACTCCAGGTAGGCTCAGGCCCCGTGGAGAGGTTCCTGGCTACTCTGCTTGGTCAAGGACGTGGGCATCAGAGGAGAACCTCATTCCACATCACTCTGGAGTCATTCCCTACTTTCCTGGACAGCCATGGTGGTCCCATGGGTGGAGCACTGGGCTGTGAGCCAACGGGCTGGGGTTCAAGGCCAGGTGATGCCACTGACTTGCTGTGTGACTTTGGGCAACAAAATCCCCACTCTGGGCCTCAGTTTTCTAATCTGTTACCATGAGGGAGTCAGACCAAATCCTTTCTCAAACCAATCCCTTTCAGCTCTAACATTCTGAGGACCTGTGAAATGGGATATGATCAGAACAAGCTCCCCCCACCACCTCAATTTTCTGACCCTCAGAATTTTGGATACATTACTGAGCGATGGTGCCCCCTGGTGGTTTCAGCGGCATTGTGCAGCCTGCCAAAATCCTGGGTGGAAAGCAGGTTAATATTGGTACTTACACAGGAAGCCTAACAGACAATTAACTCCTGCTTACAGGGTGACTTAAATGCAAAGGGCGCAAGTGCGGTAGGGTTGTTCTCTTTGCTAATCTAGATTTTTCCTTCCCGCCAGTGCCTCCACATCATTTGTCTTTGAATCCTAAGGCTGGAAGGGGCCTTGAGGAGCCAGGCTAGTCCATTCCTGCTGCCTCCTGCAGAAGTGTACCCAAACCAACCCAGCCAGGCGGTGGTATACCAGGGATCGGCAGCCTCTTCGGCCCTGTGTGCCACCAGTGGGGTGAAACAAAGCCCGCGGGGACCACTGGCAGGCCTAAGACATAGGTAGGAAAGAAGGAAGAGGGATGGGAGGGCAGGAGAGACAGGGAAGAGGGAGAGAGAGAAAGAGAGAGAGAAAAGCGAGAAGTATTGTATACGGTGGGAAAGCTGCCGCGATTGATAGGGGCCACTTGTCGACCACCTCTGAGATGCTCCAACCTCCCTCTGCCACCATGTCCAGCTCTGCTGCCTCCAGGTCTTCTCTAGAACTTAACCCGCCATGTGCCTGGCACTGGTCTGGGCAGCCGGGCCACAGAAACAAGTGATGCACCATCTCCACCACAGGACTTAAGTTTACGATCAAGGAACGACTGTGGTTGCTAGTTATGAGAGGGTTCCCCCTCCAAACCCTTGTTGGTGGGCATGTCTGATCCTACCTAAGAATCAAGAAGCACTGCTCTAGTGATGGCCTTTGGAGTCCTCACAGAAACGGATTCATCAAGCCCAATCCACAGTGGTGCTAAGCGACTGACATCAAATTCTAATTATTCAAAAACTGGTGTCATCCATGTGAGGGTAAACTCTTCATGGGCACACTTCTATTTAACAGAGCATTGAACTCACCAGAATTGCCTCTACCCCAGCTATGCTAGATGCCCATGTCTACTGCGTGCCAGTGGCTGTCACAGAGCCCTGTGGTGGGAGTCAGGAGACCTGGGTTCTTGTCCCACCTCCACCAGTGACTCACCTTGTAACTTGGACAAGTCACTGCCCCTCTCTGGACCTCAGTTTCCCCATCTGTAAAGTAGGGGGAGGGGACTGGGACTAGTTTATGTCTAAGGGCTCTTCTAGCTGTCTGTCTGTCTGTTTAGGAGTCTATTAAATACATCTGAGCCACATGACATGACTTGGTGATGTCCGGGTGGGGGTTAACTATTAGTGATCCTCCTGCATGGTCTGTATAAAATATTGCTCCACATCTTTCTCTCTTCCTTTTTCTCTCTCATTCCTATGGCCCCCCTTCTCTCATCCTCCTCTTTCCAATCTGTCTTTGGCTTTTTCTGTTTCTTCCTCACTCATGTCTTAGGACTTACAGAAATACCCGAAAGCCCTGCTCAGCCCATCCAGGGCACTCTGGGCTAGAAAGAACTGTCCTTGACATGACACAGCTGTTGGTAGAAGCTTCCTCGGGATGTCCCACAACCAGCAGGTGAGATCAGGGCTTCATAATGCCATGGTTGAGAACCCATCTGGCTCCTGCCCCGCCCACCCCCCTGCCCAGATACAGACACACGCACAGTGAGACGGGTCATGGGGTGGGCTCCGACGACTCATCTCAAAGGATTCATGGCCTAAGGAGTTCAGAGCTGAGTGAGGCGGAAAGATCATATGATGCAGGAGAGTTTCCAGCCTGAAGTTTCTGGGGCCTGTAAGACTCTTGAAAGTGGTGATGGGGTTCACATCCTTTTTTCAATACTTCAAAAATCCTAGCCAAACCAGTTGCCGTTGAGTCAACTCTGACTCATGGTGACCCCATGTGTGTTAAGAATAGAACTGTGCTCTATAGGGTGCTCAATGGCTGGTTTTTCAGAAATAGAGCACCAAGCCTTTCTTCCAATGTGTCTCTGGGTGGACTAAAAACCGCCAACCTTTTGGTTAGCCGCTGAGCATGTTAACTATTTACATCACCCAAGGACTCCTTCAAAAAGGCCACCAGAAACTATCCTTAAACAAGAATGTAATTACAATGCCAATTTTCTTTATTTTTTTTCCTCTCTGTAATTTTATGAGTGCTTTGGCTAAGCTACAGGCAACCTCTTGTTGGCAATTCTGAATATTTCTGATGACTAGACTTTCTCTAAGGAGTCAAATGCTCTCAAAACTTGTGATATGGGTAATAATAAAAGGGGTCTTTTGTCAGTAGCATGATCTCATCCAAAGTTTTCATTTTTACAGAGAAGATAATCAGACCTCAGAGAGGTAAAAGGGCTTGCCCAAGCTCACACAGCAAGTCAGAGGCAGAACTTGAGAATTCCTGAGCAAGGCTATCACTGCAGGGGAGGGGGCTCAGGTTCATTAAAGTGGAACAGGATAGATGCATACAGATTCCGCTTTAAATTTATCTTGTACTTTGGAACTTCTGTGTGCTTCACAGGGCTAGGAGATAACCACCCCCAGTATTACCCCCATTTGCCAGATTAGACAACTGAGGCACAGAGAGACCATGTAATGTGCCTGAGGTCACACAGGTATCTAGGACTAGAAACCAGGTCTCCTGAATCTTAAGCCAGTGGTCCTCCCTCCTATATTAAAATCAGATGGACAATTAAGACTAGAGCAGCCACTTGACCCTGCCCCTCCTGCCCAAGGACCCCCAGCCCCACTGCCCCGCAGTCCAGCCAGGATGACCCACTGTGGCCCGACTGGCTTCTGAGTCTACAAAGCCAGCCTGTGCCTGGAGCTGCTTACCTGTGTGCTGGAGGGCCCTACAGCACGCCGGGGCACCTTGATGTCGAATCCACCTTTGGGGTCCTTCTCCCCTCTCAAGCACGGGTCATTGGGAGGCTCTCGGCCCCCCTCCCAGTCACAGATGGTCTTCCGAATTGCCTGCAGGACACTGGGGAAGGAGAGCTGAGACTCAGGCCAGTCTTACCACTGGAAGAAGGGACCGCTAGCCTTGTTTACAGGGATTCTAGTGTCCCAGGAACACCTGCATTAGCGTTACGGGGTGCTTGTAAAACATGCTCACCCTGGGCCCACCCCTGAGATGCCGGTTTAATAGACTTAACATGCAGTTCAGAAATCTGCATGTTAACCAGCGTCCCAGGTGATTCTGATGCCCGCTAGGTGTTTGAACACTTAGCTCTGAGCTCACGCAGTGGGACAGAACTTAAGTATAGCAGAATGGCTGTTTTTCTCTTTGGCTAGAGGGACGTTTCATTGGTCCAATTAAATCCCTGTGTATTTAAATATTTGACGAGAGCTTGTATTTGTTGCACACTTCCTCCATGATTCTGTGTGCTTAGCTCTACATGTGGGTTATCTCATTCATCATCCCAGCTGCCTATGATATAGATACTATGATCGTCCCCATTTTATAAATGAGGAAAACAGAGGCTTGGAGCAGGAAAGTAACTTGACTAAGTTCACCCAGCTAGACAGTGATTGATATGGGCTTCAAACCTGGAGACTGAAGCTTAATTCATTCCAAAGGTCCAGTACCTCCTAAGAAGGAATCCTGACTCAGAGAGCTTGCTAGAAGGTCTTTATGAGCTCAGAGGCTACTCTGGAAGCTGACTGGGCCAGGGACTACCTCTCTAGCCTGCACCTAGCACCACCAAGTTTTGATGTTTCCCTGGAAAGGACCACCCGAAGACCCACCTGATGAGGACGTTCTTCTTCTTCCGCACTGCCTGCCTCAAGGGCTCGCGCAGAGTCACCTGGGCAAAGTCCTGCAGGGCTGCGTAGATAGTGTTCCTGATGGCCTGGTTGAAGACACTTTCCATCCTGCCCATGAGGACCTGCAGGCCTTTGATCATGGCAATCACCTGGCCAAATACAGATCAAGGTCAGGCTCACTGTGCCTTGGCACACCAGTCTATCCCACACCCTCCACCACATCATGGGTAGACGTGGTGTGAGACCACCATAAGCACTAGGCTAGTGCCACTCAACGTGCTGGTTCACAGCTAGGTAAGAAATGTATCCCATAAGTCAACACTCTGCTTCCGTCATCAAGAAAGTCTTGCTACAAAGATGTAAGCTAAATTGAATAGTGCATTTTGTGATGCCATTGATTTTCACTCTGGCATGAGTGCTTATTCATTGAGGACTGGTGACAAGAGGCAGCTGGTCCATGGACCACAATCTGAGCAGCACTCTGACTTTTGGAGGCCTGTCCACATACCATGCACCCATATACCATCTCAAAAAGAGGTTTTTTTCCAACTGTAAATTTTCTAAGGAGTTTTTATAATCTTTGCCTTTAAAATAATTTGGCCAGTGGCTGCTTGGATCCATAAAATAGAAACGTCTTCCCCTGTAATAGTCATGGGAGAAAAGGTTCTGTCCTTCTATTTGCCTCCTTCACTTATCTGTTTGGATGAAAGACAGGTATCTGTGATGGGTATACCTGGCCTGACCTGTCTGCCTGCAGGGTGTGTGCCTTTTCCGGGGCTGCCGTCCTCTCCTTGCAATAATCACTCCTCCTTCCCCATCCCAAGGAACGGAGGCCTGCCTATTACTCAGTGAGTAAGTTTAGTGGGATGGGGGAGGAAAAGGAAGGCTGTTGTGGCCTTGGGTTGAAGTCACATTCTCTTGTCCAGCTTTACCTGAAACAAACCTCATCCTTTAACACCCATTTGCCTCAAGTGTTAAGTTCCCGAATGGTTCATAATTCAGATGGGGAAAGCTTGTATCAAACCAGCCTCCTCACAATCACTACACTTATCACACCCACCATGACTTCTTCAACTTCCACCCTCTGCACCAGACTGTGAGCACTGCCACAGGCAAGGCCTGAGGATGCTGAGCATACCCCATCTCCAGTGCCTGGGCACAGTGGGCAGCCAAGGAATTCTTGTGGAAAAAGAGTCAATAAATGAATGAATGGACTTGGGCTCTAAGGCTTTTTCTTCTGCTAAACCTTAGAGAAAGAAAAAGAACATTCAAGGTAGCAGAAATGGTAAGAACAGAGCTAAGGAGGTGAGGATTATCATTGCAACCAATGAACATAACAACCTTGGTGGAGAGAAGCTTCACTACAGAGAAATAATGGGAGAGAAACTTTAAAGGAAGGTCAGATCATAAAAGAATCTAAGCTCCTGGCTAGAGATGCCAACTAGGAAATATTAGGGCAAAGGAAGAAATAGACAAGGAAGATGCTTCAGATTAATGCTACACATGGTAGGGTGTGCAAGTCTGTTAGACCTAAGAGAAAATCCGCAACCTGGCATAGGGAAAGATTTCTTAGACAGGACACAAAAATACTTGATAAATTGAATTTTATCAAAGTTAAAGACAGTTGCATTTCAAAAGGCATCCTTAAGAAAATGAAAAGGTAAGTCACCAATTAGAAAAAAAATTTTTTTTCAACACATATATGGTTAAAGACTTGTATCTAGAATTCTAGAATTCTCATAATTGAATAAGAAAACCAACAGCTCAATTTTAAAAGATGAGCAAAAGATTTTGACAACACAAAAGAAGATGTAAGAATGGCCAATAGGCACATGAAAAGATGCTCAACATTATTAGTCCTCAAGGAAATGCAAATTAAAAGTTTAATACACATGTATCAGAATGGCTAAAGTTAATTAAGAGCGACAATATTAAGGGCTGATGGAGATGTGGAGCAACCAGAATGCTCATATATTGCTGGTGTGAATGTAAAATGGTACAACCACTTTGGAAAACTGATTGGTGGTTTCTTAAAGTTGAACATAAACCTACCACATAAGCATTCCAAGAGAAATTGAAAACATATGTCCACACAAAGACTTGTACTCAAGTATTCAAAGCCACTTTATTCATACTGGCCCAAAACTGGAAACAGCTCAACATTCGTTAACAACAAATGGATAAAAATTGTGGTATATCCATACAATGGAATAATACTCAACAACAACAAAAAAGAACAAACTACAGATACACAAAGCAACACAGATAAATCTCAAAATCATTATGCCAAGTTGAAGCCAAACACAAAAAGTACATACTATATGATTTCATTCATATAAAATTTTAGAAAATCCAAACTAGCCTATGGTAAAAAAAAAAGCAGTAAATGGTTGCCTGGGGCTAGGGACAGAGGAGGTAGGGACAGATTGCAAAGTGGCACAAGAAATCTTTAGGGGGAGACAGAAGTGTTCTGTATGTTAATTGTGTTGCTGGTTTCACAGGTGTATTTAACTGTCAAAATTCTTTGACCTGTACAGTTTAAATGGATGCAGTTTATTTATATGAATTCTATCTCAATAAAATTGATTATAAAAATTATAATTATCCTCATGGAGATATCACACTCATGACACAAGATCAGTGCACTAAAAAACGGAACATTCAGAGAATAAGATGGAGACTTCAGACGTTAAAAATATTATAATCAAAATACAAAATTCTAATAGAGTTTAAAGTTGAATTTGAGGAAATATTCTATAAAGCTCATCAAAAGGAAGTGATACACAATAAAAGAGAAAAGAAAATTAGAGATTAAATCCTGGATGCCCAAGATCTGACAGTTTGAAATCCAAGAAAGAATGAGGAAAACAGACAGGAGGAAATTATCAGAATAAAAAGTCAGGGAAATTTCCCAGACCTGGTAGCACAGTGGTTAAAAAATTAGCTGCTAACCAAAAGGTCGGCAGTTCGAATTCACCAGCCACTCCTTGGAAACCCTATGGGGCAGTTTTAATCTGTCCTAGAGGGTCTCTATGACTTGACGGGAATTGGTTTGGTTTGGTTTTGGTTTAAGGGACATTTGTTTTCACACTGAAATGGCCTATGTAGTATCCAAAACAATGAATGCAAAAAGCCCTCATCAAGATTCCTCACTGTGAAATTTAGAACAAAAGGCATACAGAGATGATTCTATAAAATTCTACAAAGGAAAAAGATGAATAAAGTTGGAGGACTCAACACTTTCTGATTTCAAAACTTACAAAGCTACAAGACAGTGTGGTACTGGGATAAGGACAGACATACAGATTCATGGAAAATAACTGAGAGTCCATAAATAAACCTTTACAATTATAATCAATTGATTTTTGACAAGGGTATTTAGACACTTTAATGGAGAAAGAATACTCTTTACAACAAATGGCACTGGGACAGAACAGGCACAGGTACAGAGACAGAAAGTAGGTTAGTTGTTGCCTGAGGCTTGGGGGCAAGGGCAAATGGTGAGTGTCTGCAATGGGTGACGGTTTCTTTTTGAAGTAATAAAAATGTCCTAAAACTAGATAGTGGTGATGGTTATACAATTATGAATATATTAAAAATCACTGAATTATTTTAAAAGTGTTAATTTTATGGTATGTGAATTATATTTCAGTAAAATTGTTAATAAAAAAATTTTTACAGAGGAAATAAAACACAGGAATCAGGAATCAGAATAGAATCCAACTTTTCAACAGCAACATTAGAAACTAGAAGACAGTGAAAAAATACCTCAAAATTCTGGAAGAAAATTGTTTCCAATTTAGAATTCTATATCTAGTCAAACTATAAGTAAGGCTAGAATAAAAAAAAATTTCCGATATTAAAGATCTCAAAAAAATTTTCTGCTATAATCCCTTTCTTAGAAGGATATTGAAGGATATATTCCATGAACATGAAGAAAGAAGAAGATTTGGGATCCAACATAGGAGAAAGACAAAGGATAATGATGAGATATCTCAGATGAGTGGCTGGACAGCAAGTCTAGAGACAAACTAGTTCAGGTTGGAACAGAAAGAAAGGACTTCAGGAGGAATGGCTCCAAGAAAAAAATAATTCAGAAAGTAACTATTGTGACTATTTTGAAAGGAGTTTTACATTTTGTTAGTATGTTTGAGGTTATATTTTTAGTAGGTTCACAGAAAACTAAACAAATAAAAAGTAAGGCAATTGTTAACTCTAGGAAAAACAAAAAGTTGTATAAGAAAATGAGGTATCCACATTAGACCACCGCCTCATCAATGAGCAAGAGTTACTTGGTAATAATAATATCAAGTAACTATTGATTTAACCAAAAAGTATAAAATTACCACATTGGGAAGATGAGGGAAAAGAACGGAGTGAGTTGTGGGGTGAAAGATGAAGATGAGAGAGCTAAATTCTTCTCTCTCAAAGGGGGAAATCAATAGAAAATGTCATAAATTGAAAAGCCAACAAACATTCCAAAATCATGATACTTAGTGTCATGGGCTGAACTGTGTCCCCCAAAAATATGTATCAACTTGGTTAGGCCATGATTCCCAGTACTGTGTGGTTGTCCTCCATTTTGTGATTGATGTAATTTTCCTACATGTTGTATATCCTAATCTCTGCCTGTGGTTAATGATGCAAGATTAGATTATGTTAAAAGAGGATTAGGGTGGGATGTTAACACCCTTACTTAGGTCACATCCCTGATCCAGTGTAAAGGGAGTTTCCCTGAGGTGTGGCCTGCATCATCTTTTATCTTACAAGAGATGAAAGGAAAGGGAAGTGAGCAGAGAGTTGGGGACCTCATACCACCAGGGAACAGGGAGGATTCTTTGGACCCCAGGTCCCTGTGCCTGAGAAGCTCCTCGACCAGGGGAATATTGATGACAAAGACCTTCCCCCAGAGCTGACAGAGAGAGAAAGCCTTTCCCTGGAGCTGACGCCTTGAATTTGGACTTACAGCCTACTAGACTGTGAGAGAATAAATTTCTCTTTGTTAAAGTTATTTACTTGTTGTATTTCTGTTATAGCAGCACTAGATGACTAAGACACTTAGAAATACAGAGATAAGTATTAGAAGAAATTAGCTTAAAGAGGTGGAAGATGTCTCATTTTGGGATTCAAGGTGGTTTTGTTGCTATATGCTATGTTGAACTATTTTTCTTTAAAAAATTTTTTTTAAATCTTTTAGGAATAAAATAAAAATTAAAAATTTCTAAATGCATAGAAAAGTAAGGACTAGAAAGAAATACAGCAACCAGTTATTGGTGGTTGTCTTTCAATGATATGAGGCTGTGGGAAGGCGAGGGTGGGAGCTGGCATGGGAGAAGCATTTTTCAAATTACCTACCAAAACAAACAAACCAAACCCATTACTGTTGAGTTGATTCTGACTCATGACAACCCCATGTGTTACAGAATAGAACTGCTCCATAGGGTCTTCTTGGCTGTAATCTTTATGGAAGGAAATCACCAAGTCTTTCTTCCGCAGCACCAGTGGGTGGGTTTGAATTACCAAACTTTCAGTTAGTGGCCAAGCTAAACCCTTTGTATCACCCAGAGACCTCTAAATTATCTACAGTACATATGTGTTCCTTTTGTTAAGGAAAGAAACACATAAAAGTTTTACAAACTTGCATGGACCCTCGACTACAACTCTCATTTTAATGAGGATGATTTTCTCTTCCAGTGATGATGACTGGGAGACTTTCTTCCAGGCTGATATAAGCAATGGAAGTGCCAGGGGGCCAGGGCACCACTCAGGACAATGTCAAGTGTGGTTAAAACTTTTTCTCCAGGCTAAAATTATACCACCGGGCCTCAGTTCTTTAAAGTATAGCTTGGAGAGCTGCTAAATAACAACCCTAACCCCTTACATCTGTATGACTCTTTATAGCTTTCAAAGCTCATCTACAACCATTATTTTACTTGACAATTATTGGGTGACTCTCAACAATAACCCCAGGATGGAAGAGGGTAGAGATTATTGGCTCCATTTTATAGGTAAGGAAACTGAGGCTCAGAAAGATGAAGTGACCTAGGGCCTAGAGCTAGTATCCAGGTCTCTGACTTCTAGACTAGTCTCTTCTAGACTTCAGATGTTCATGAAAGAGGTAGCCATCACTCACAACCTAGTGTGAATGAGTATTCCCTCTCCCCTCAAAAATAGAACATCTTTCTGTCATTAAACAAACAAAATACAATCCAGAAGGTTATAAAGCAGGAAGTAAGAATCCTTCCTCCAGAAATTACTATTGTTAATGGTGTGGTATATAGAAACATAAATATCTATGTCCTTCATTTTTCATGCAAATATACAAAAGTATATTAATTTTAGTATAAATGCAATCATTTTACATGCTGTTCTTTAACCTGCTTTTTTTTTTTAAACTTAACAATATACTGTGCATATCTTTCCATGTAGGTAAATCCATTTTAGTGACTGGATAGTTTCAATTATACAGCTATACCTTAATTTGTTTACCTGGTTCCGTGTTGAAGGATATGTAAGGTGTTTCATCTATCTTAGCATTATAAATAGTGTGATAAATATCCATGTGCATGTGTCTCTGCACAGTTGGCTTATTTCCCTGGCATACACTCCCAAAAGAAGAACTTCTGGGCCAAAGGGTATGCCCATTAAAAATTTGGATACATATTATCAGATTGCCCTCTAGAAAGCCTATAAAATGTTGACAACCACCAAAAGTTTCCGAGAAAGTCTATTTCCCATACTTCAACCAATAACAGGCAATACCAATCCTTTAAATCTTTGCCATCCTGATTTGTAAATATCCCTGTGTTAGTTTTAATTTGCAGTTTTTCATCAGTCTGAGCATTTTTCACGTCTCCTCGCCATTTGTTTTTCTTCTGTCAGTTACCTATTGCCCACTTTTTTTAGCAAGGTGGTCAACACTTTCTTACGCAGTTTTAAGAGCACAATGAGTTCTGAATTATTTCTAAATAATAAATTTTGATAGAGATTGATTTGGATGATATCACGTACTTGAAAGGAGAAGAGGGACAGCGAGGAGGGTACAAATCAGGAGGACCAATGCTGTCATTTTTCTCAGGCCCACTCCTGGACCACCATGAGAAACCCTGAAGAGCCGCCTCCCGAGTGGAGGAGGGAGGCAGCACCTACCTCTACAAAGGCGAACTTCTCCTCACTGGTGTAATTGTAGCGCGTGGCTCTCTCATACTCTTCTGCTGTGCCCGGGCAGTCCTTGTTGCAGAACTTGTCTGTGGGGTGAACTAGCTTCCAAGAGTACTGGGGAGAGTGGAAACAAGCCAAATGCTCATCAACTGATGAATGGCTAACCAAAATGTGGCATACCCATACAATGGAATATTATTTGGCCATAAAGAGAAACGAAGTACTGATACATGCTACAACATGGATGAACCTCAAAAACATTAATCTAACTGCAAGAAGTCAGTCACAAAAGACTACATGTTTTATGATTCCATTTATATGAAATGTCCAGAATAGAGAAATCTGTAGAGATAGAAAGTAGATTTGTGGTTGCATGGGCCTTGGGGAAGGAGCCCTGGTATCACAATGGCCAAACAATTGGCTGCTAACCAAAAGGTTGGAGGTTCGAACTCACCAGTGGCTCTGTGGGAGTAAAGATTACAGTCTAGGAAACCCCATGGGGCAGTTCTACTCTGTCATGCAGGGTCTCTATAAGCTGGAATCAACTCGACCGATGGCACACAACAATAAGGCCTTGGGGTGAGGGAGGTAGGGGGTGGTAGCTAATGGGAATTGGGTTTCTTTTTAGGGTAATAAAAATGTTCTAAAATGACTGTGGTGATGGTTGCACAACTCTGAATATACTAAAAGCCACTGAATTGTACACTTTCAATGGGTGAATGGCATGGTACGTGTATTATATCTCAATCAATCGGTTTAAAAGAAAAAAAAAAAAGAGTACTTGGGAGAGGTGGAGACAGAACCCAAGTGAAGAGGGATCAGTCTAGAGGGGATGGAAGGGTCAGTGCCCTCTGCCCGCCGGGCACCTACCACCTCCATGACGTGGGCACTCCACTTGGATAAAAGCTGCAGGCCGCGCAGGGCCAGGTCGAAGAGCTCGCGGTACTCCTCGTCTGACTTCTGGCTGTCCAGCCCAGAGCCCGTCACCACCTGGGGAACACCGGCCGTCACTCTCACTGTCTAAGTGCCTGGTACTCTTTATGCATTATTTCATCGATTCCCCCCAAGGGCATTATCTGGAAGGTGCTCTTATGATATTCCCTCGACAGATAAACTGAGGCTCGGGTAAGTGCCTTGCTGAGGCCACACGGCTTGCACACGGTTGAGCGTCCAAATTCAGATAGTGTGACGCCACAGTCTCACACTTCACCACTCTGGTATATCATGAAGCAGCGGCTGTCAAACCTTCTTGACTGCAACTCACAGTCAGAAGTGAATACTCTACAGTGACCTCAGAATACATACTTACGTAGGGATATTAAATACATGTATATGAAACAACATTTTCACGAAGCAATCTTATTCTTAATACCTGTGATTCCCTCTGATTTTCTATTCTATTTCTCACAAAAGTGCCCCACTTAACTGATTTCACAACTCATAATTGAGACATCACTCATGGATTGAAAAGCACTGGTGTAGACAATCAAACATTTACATGTGTTATATTTAACAATTAAGTGTAATATTATGTCTGTGTAATTGTGTATATGCATATATACAAAGGATATGTGTATGTGTATATTTACATATCTATGTGTATAATTTTAAAAAATAACTTTGTGCCAGACTTACTCTTGGCCCACACCGAAATGTAACTAGGAATTGAGGAGGCCCCGGCACCCTAGATAAATGATTCCTCTAGCTTTAGTTCAGTTGACTGGCATATGTGAAGAAGATCGAAGGTTTGGGCTTGACCTGGCAGTGTCTACCAGGAGCCCTCACGAGAATGTTGGCCACTGGTCCAATGACCACACCGCTTGCATTTGTCAGAGAGTCCCCATTTCAAATATGTTACCCTATGATCAAAAGAGGGGTCCCTGGGTAGTGCAAACTGTTAAGCTCTCGACCACTAGCTGAAAGACTGGCAGTTTAAACCCACCCAGAGGCATCTTGGGAGACAAGTAATCTGCTTCCAAAAGGTCACAGCCTTGAAAACCCTATGGAGCAGTTCTACTCTGCACACATGGGGTTGCCATGAGTCAGAATCAACTCGATGGCAACAAGAATGATCAAACGCATTTCTGAATTTGGGTTTGAAAAGCATGATCACTATGACCGCTAGCCACAAGATGGAGCCAGTGAACAAACATGGGATAAACTTAAAAAAAAAAAAAAAAAAAAAAAAAAAAACCCATTGCTGTCGAGTCAATTCTGACTCACAGGGACCCTACAGGGCAGAGTAGAACTGTTCCATAGGGTTTCCAAGGCTGTAAATATTTATGGAAGCAGATTGCTACATCTTTCTTCCATATAGCGGCTGGTGGCTTCAAACTGCCGACCTTTTGGTTAGCAGCCAAGCACTTAACCACTGCACCACCAGGACTCAATTAAACATGGGGTAGCACAGAGTAATCCAGGAATACCAGCTGCCATTGAGTCAATTCTGAATGATGGTAACCCTAGGCATACCAGAGTAGAACTGTGCTCCATAGGGTATTCAATGGCTGATTTTTCAGAAGTAGATTGCCAGGCCTTACTTCTGAGCACCTCTGGGTGGATTCAAACCTCCAACCTTTTGGTTAGCAGCTGAGCATGTTAACTGTCTGCACCACTCAGGGACTCTAACCCAGGAGTAATACTAGGTAATAAAGAATTCAAATCAGGTGACCTATGTTTATTAGACAAGCTCATGTGGGAAGCGGTACGGAAGGATATATACACTCAAAGATTAGTCATAGTTGGTTCTGGATGGTATGATTTTATATGATTAATTTCCCTTCCTTTTGCATATCTGTATTTTTTTTCCTGAGACTTGCATATTGATCATGTTTCTATACTAATAAAGGAAAAACAACATCAATAAAAATATAATTATTGGAAAAAATAACAACCTATTAAGATTATAGGAGATTTTCATGGTCTTCTCTTGTCCCTAATTGTGTGTGTTTTTTAAAAATATTTTACAATGAATGTTTATTATTGTGTAGTTTTGAAATATTTAGATGGTGTTATAAGTATGGGAGTTTAGAAATCTGCTCTTGCCATCCAGAGTGAAGATAGCCTGGATCATGCACACACAGAACTCAAAATTACCACCTGCAGGCTCCATGCATCATCAACCATATCATTTAATCTTTTCAATGAACCTTTGAGGGTAGGTACTATTATTACCTCCACTTCTGAGGTGAGGAAACTGGGGCACAAAGATGTCAAATAGTCTGCCCAGAGCCAGAATCAAATGCGATTCTGCCAGGCTTCTGCCCTTCTGCCTTCCCATGTGCCTGTCTTTACTCCTCCTCTCCGGTATCCAGTGTGTTCGTGCTCTGTCCTGGCTGGTCTGCCCTTCCTGCCCTGGGCCCACATGCACCTCCATCCCAGGAGCCAGAGGGTGCTTACCTCACTGTTGCTGTAGCGAGCGAGTTCAGAGATGAAGCGGATGTGGTCATCCCGGATCTGCACCATCTGCTCGCAGATGTTGTACTGTGGGCTGATGCTGCTCTGGGTGCACGTCCACCTGGGCAGAAAATCATGGGTCGGAGCAGGCCCTGTCTGAAGTGCCTGGGTGGGACAGGCTCCTTCCACGCAGTAGCTGCTCCTGGCACCTCCAACACGCAGCCACCATGGCCAGCTCCCCTTGGTGGAACCCAAGAGGCATCCCAGCACCTCAGCGAGGGAGCCTGCTAAATCCAATGCTGTAGGGACCGCAGGCTGAGTGACAGTCCTCCCTCTTCCTCCTTTGGGGCTGGCCTCCTCTAAGTCCCAACCACATACTTTTCCAGGCACCCCATCCAGGTACTTACCAGGTACATGAGTGAGCAAGCAGGGAAGGACTTGCAGTCTCTCTAGGACTACAAAGGACTGAAATCTAAGCCAAGAAAAAGCAGGCTGGGCAACTTCCCTAAGAACATCTTCTCACTCCAATAGCACCACCATCCTACGATGTGTCAGCATTCTCATTATTTCCATTCTGTTTGTTCTGTTTCCATTAATCTAGCTTCCCTTCCCCTCCCTGCCTTCTCATCTTTGCTTTTGGGTAAATGTTGACTGTTTTGGTCTTATATAGTTAATTGTTTAAGGAAGCACATTGCTCTTGGGTGATACTGTTTATTTTATAAGCCAATCTATTATTTGGCTGAAAGGTGACCTGCAGAAATAGTTTCAATTCTAAATTCAAAGGGTAGCTTAGGGTGGTAGTCTTGGGGACTCCTCTAGTCTCTATTGGTTCAGTAGGTCTGACTTTTTTTTTAGGAATTTGAGTTTTGTTCTACATTTTTCTCCCATTCTATCTGGGACTTTCTATTATGTTCTTGGTCAAAAGTAGTAGCTGGGTACCATGTAGTTCTTCTGGTCTTAAAGGTTATAAGAGGCTGTGGTTCATGTGAGCTGTTAGTTTCTTCTTTGAGCCTTTGATTTCCTTCACTCTGTTTTGCTTCATACAAGTAGAGAACAAGAATTGTATCTTAGATGGCTGCTCACAAGCTTTTAAGACCCCAGACACTACTCACCAAACTAGAACGTAGAACATTATTTTGTAAATTATGTTATGACAATTGACTAAGTTGTCCCCTGAGACTATGGTCCCAAGCCCTTTGACCCAGTAAACCAATCCAGCAAGTTGTTTGGCTATGTCTAGGAAGTCTCCGTAACTGTCTATGCACACACTTTTAAGGTACTAATGCCCTCCCGCTTGATTAACAGTTGGGTGGCCCCTTTCTGTATGGAAAGGCCATATTCCTCAACCAAGCACTCAGCTTTGGAGAGATTCACACAGAAGAAACCTCCTTAACAACTCCAGAGATCAAAGGGGTGGCCAAGGCTGTAACCAGATTCTCTCCAACTTCCATGAGGTACTGACACCCCTACTCTTGGCATCAAACCAAACCTACTGTCATCGAGTTGATTCTGTTTCATAGCAACCCTATAGAACAGAACAGAACTGCTCCTAGGGTTTCCAAGGCTGTAAATCTTTACAGAAGCAGACTGCCACATCTTTCTCCCATGGAGCAGCTGGTAGGTTCAGAGTGCTGACCTTCTAGTCAGCAGCCGAGCCCTTAACCAACACGCCACGAGGGCTCCTCCAATCTTGGCACAGATTACCTTAAATCATGGTTTATAAGGTGACCAAAGATGAGGGTGTCAACCCATTTCACAGTTGGAACCATTCAAACCACACATTCAGCTGTGTCCTTACTCATGGACAGGACACCTGAGGAGAGAATCCAGGTGATGAAGAAAACTCCAGATGAAGACCAATGTCACTTCACTTTACCTGACCACTGAGGGCATACCTCTGCTCCGCACTTCTCAACGGAAGGATTCCTGCTGTCCCACCAGGGGGCAGCGTGGGTCACTACTGGACGAAGAAGGGGCCGGTGGCTGTGCTCTGGGCCCTTTTGAGCCCTGGCAGCAAAGGAGGATACAAAAGGGCTCAGAGCACACTCCGAGGCACCCCTCTGGCTGCGCGCCAGTGTTGTGACAGGATCCACCTTCCCAGGGCTCTGGGGAGGGAGGAGAGGCTGAAGCAGCCCCTCGGCTCCCTGCCCAGACTGGGCATGCTTGCAGGAGCTGAGAGACATTACGGCAGGCACTCACTTGGACTTGTTCTCTTCATAGTGAGCACTGGTCTTAATGTATCTGGCCAGCTCTATCTGCATGTCTCCGAATAAGGGCACCACCTGCAGCTGCTGCAAAGGAAGCAAACACAGCATGAGAGTCGCCAAGGGAGGGGCTGGGGTGCAGCCTTTACCAGCCCAGTGGGGAAGGCAGGCCACTGTGTGTGCCTCTGGGCTGACTCCTAGTTTCTGCCTCTGATGACACTACCATGTGACCCTGAATCAGAAGGAGCCCCAGCAAGCACATGGGTCCTCCTGTGTGTCCAACCAACTTCATGTTCCAGGTAGCAGCCCAAGCAGCTCTTGTCCAAGATCACCCAGCAGAATGGATAAAGGACGAGGACCTGAAGGCTTGCCTCCCAGTGCAGTGTCCTTTCTGCTGATTTCCCCCAGATTAGAGGATCTGTGCTGCTCTGAACTCTGGGCTAGCAGTGGGTGTCTGGGTGCTGCTGGCTGGGTGCAGACTTCCTGAGAAACTCTCCACTGTGAGAGTAGCTGAAACCATGACACCTAACACTAGAGGGCAGACAACTTCCACTGGAATATTAGGGCAAATGGAGGGGAGGCGAGGGGTTATTTTCTGCTTCCGATGCACTAGGCGCTCTGCCAAGAACTTTAAAAACATGACCTCAATCCATACAATAATGCTCCGAAATAAGTACTATTATCACTCCCATTTTACAGATGAAGAACCTGAAGCTTTGACGGATTCAGTGACTTTTCACAAAATCAGACCACCTAGACGTCAAAGAGCCAAGATTATAACCCAGGGCTCTGACTCACCCATTAAAAAAAAAAACAAACAAACAAACAAACAAAAAAAAAACTGTTGCCGTCAAGCCGATTCTGACTCATAGGGACCCTATAGGACAGAGTAGAACTGCCCCAAAGGGTTTCCAAGGAGCAGCTGGTAGATTTGAACTGCTGATCTTTTGGTTAGCAGCCAAGCTCTTAACCACTGTGCCACCAGGGCTCCAAGGGAACGATGATAAATAGATACCCTTCGCATTCATATTTTTCAGGCTGGGGAACTGAGTTTCAAGGGGTTTAGCGACTTCCCTGGAGTACCTGGGTGGTGCAAAGGGTTAACATACTCAGCTACTAACTGACAGGCTGGCAGTTCGAATCCACCCAGAGGTGCCTCAGAAGAAAGGCCCGGCAATCTGCTTCTAAAAGGCCACAGCCATTGAAAACCCTATGGAGCACAGTTCTACTCTGCAACACATGGGGTCAGCATGAGTCAGAGTTGACTCAATGGCAACTGGTGTTTTTTTTTTAGTGACTTTCCTAAAGTCATCCAGTTATTAAGTGGCAGAGCCATAACCAGAACCCAGACCTGTTTTTAGTGACATTGAGTTCTGCTCCACCCCAGTCTCATTCATGCTGATTTAAGGCAGTGGCAGATTTTGCAAGTGTCTCTCAATATAGGCCCTTTTTTTCACTTGGGGCATCTCTAGAAAAAAGTTCCAGTCTTTTACTGGAACTAACCAAAAGAAGCAAATCAAAGCTACAAGATTTCTTTGGTGATTTATTTTTCCCTAAATCTTGAAAAGCTGGTGAGACCCAGGACCAGCCCAGTGTCCTCTATGCCACACCTTCAAGGGCTTTTCTTTACAACATTAAGCTAGGCTTTTCCGTGTCTGACCCCTCAGGCCTAACTCTATGACTGAAGTGTCCAATATTAGAATAAACTGATAAAATGGAATTCAGTTCCAAAGCATGAAATTCCCTTACAAAATCTTAAAGGCTTAATTTAACTGCAAGTTTTTACTTTTAAAGATTTGTGGCCAGAAGTTCAAATCTATGAGGCACTGGAATGGATATGCCCAAGAGTAGTGTGTGGATGGACGCTGATGAGGCCTCTGCCCAGAGGCGGGCTGCAAGCTGAGATGGTCTCTGGTGGGCCAGGCTAGAGAATGTGATTCTGTGACTCTGAATCAATTTAAAACCCAACCTTCAATCCTCCCATTTCTATGAGCTCTGATTTGCACTGAAAATAAAAGCAGAGGCTATATGGTGGCATGCACTTTTTTTTTTAGAGATGGGATTTCTGAAAAGGAAAAACAGCAGTATTCAAAAAGAACCATTAGGCCTCCCAGCCAAATCCTGGACTGAGACTTGGAACCACGTTTGACTTTCCTTAGCACAGCTTTCTATAGTGCATATTCCTTCACCAAGGGCAGCTGGGGGCCTACCATTCTGCTCTACTCCTCCCTGCAGGGTCTTTAGAGCTACAGGACAATCATCAAGCTCCACTGTTCCCCTGGCTAACTTCATTCCTTTCACAGAGAGACTTGGCCCTGATAAGCCCTGGCCCCTGGCCCAGTCCCAGCCCCAGTCGCTGACCTTGAAGAACTTGTCAATTTTGCTAAGATTGATTCTCTTCTTGGCATCCAGTTTGTAAATATTACTGACATTTCCATCCATCAAATAAAGGCCAAAGCCCATGACCTAGAATGAGAAGTGACAGAGCATAGTAAATAGTCACAGCCATCAGAAAAGCATAAAAAAAAAAAAGCAGGGTTTTTTATGTGGGTACACACATAAACACACACACAAAGACCCTATAAAGAGACATTATATTACAAAAACCCACACATCTTCAAACAAAAGAAGGAAACATTGGTCTGATTTCAACCAGAAATTTGATTTCTGTGAAGAAATGGAAGGTCCTATACCACGTTATTATGGTGGCCACTGCTTCAGCTCTTACTATAGATGGCTCTGACTCTGTATTTAGGGCTTTAATTTTCACAGCAATCTTTTAAGTCAAGTTATCTACAATAACCTTATTCTAGAGCTGAGGAATCTAGAGAAGAGACACAGAGAGGTTAAGCAGCTTGCTAAGGTCACACAGCTAGTAAATGGCAGAGATGGGATCTGAACCAGGATCTGTCTGAAAACAAAATTTATATATTTAGGTGTTCCTTGAGAAGGACTGTGTCTTGCTTATTGTTACATCCCTGGGATCTAGCACATCATAGGCATTTGATGAATACTTGCTAAATGCTGAATGAATGTAAAAATATCTGCATCTTTCTCCAAGTAAAGATTCCTGAAGAGCCATGAGTGAATTAAAAAACAAAACAAAACAAACAAACAAACAAAGAACAAAAATAAAAGAACTTTGAGAATGCCCTATAATGAGTCAACTATCAGGGCTAATTCTTGATCTTCCAGTTTATTTAATTATCTCCTGAATATTGGCTTGTTTTGATCTTTTTGTCAAACGTACAGCTGAAAGGGAGCCTGGACAATTAGAATGAAAGCAGCCTCCCGTGGCCCACAGTGGCTGTGTAACTGTGGGTAAGTCATTTTTCTCTCTGGGCCTCCATTTCTCATCTGATACATAAGAGAGTGGACTAGAGGATTGTTACGGGCACTTCCCCTAGCTTGCAGTTTGTGGCTCTGCAGAGCGATGCCAGACTTTTCCACTTAGTGCTGAGTGGCACCCCCTGGTGGCAGCTGAGTTAACTAATGCAAACTGCAGGGAGAAGTGAAACCGCATGTATTGGAGGCCAGACTGAAGAGGATGGAGAACAGACAGGGAAGAAGTTGGGCATGTGGACTGTGGAGGATTAAAGACAGGTGAGAGAAAAGGTGGGTTCGAGAATTTGAAGGCAGTATCTAATTCAGTAACCTGGACTTGAATTTAGTAATCTGGTTCATGGAAGCAGCAAGCCTGGGTGGGGAGAGCTACAGTAACTGCCCAGACAGAGAACTGGGGGTGAGGGGCAGCTGAACTTTGATGGCTTCTCTGGATTTCTGATTGTTCAGACGAAGCCAGAGAGAAGACATCACAAAGCCACACTGCCCTGCAAACTTAATCGAGGTGCTATGGAAATGTAAAGAAGGGACCACCACCAGGGCTGGAGAAGGGAAGAAAGGAAAATCTACCAGGAGAACTGTGAAAGGTGAGGTTCCAGGCAAGAAAGAATAAAAGATTTATGGAGAAGGTCGTTCATTTCTGTGCTCTAAATGCTTGAGACAAATGAGAAACAACTAAGCAGCTAACAAACACATGGGGTTGCTATGACTTGGAGCTGACGCAAAGGTAACTTGGTAAGCAGCTAACAACAGAACAGCGCTTAAACAAATGAAGGCTCATCCATGTGACATTATTTTAATGGCTGCATTAATATTCCAGATACATTTAACAACACGGGATAAAAATTATACACAAAACAATTTATGTATATTTTATTTCATATTTTAAAAATGTTTGCTTATATATAAATTTATCAATTTATTACATATTTTGAAAATATGTAAGCCTAGAAAAAATTAGAAGGAAATACATCAAAATTCTGAAAGTGTCACCTCTGGATGGGAAGACTGTAAGAGATTTTAATTTTTTTCATGCTTTTCTGTATATTCTAGATTTTCCACAAGGAATAAATATCACTTGGTAATTTTAAAATGAAACTTGTAAACCGATAAAACAATTGTGGCCATTTTGGCAAAATATAGTAAAAGCTTGAAGATGTTTGTATTCCCTTTGAGTCGGCAATTTCTCTTCCAGCAAGACCCAATTTGGCAATAATCACAGATGTGCCCAAAGGCTGTGCTAAAAAGGAAGTTCAGTGCGATACAGCAAACAAATATCCACCACTAAGGGATTCACTACATAACAACATCTCCATACAACGGAATACTCGGTAGTCGTTAAAAATTACATTATGGAAATATTCTTAGCGGCTTCTGGAAAGGCAAACAGACATTAAATGGAAAGACTGGGGCACGAAACATTAGGTGCAGTGAGAGCTGTATTAATATTTAAGTGAGAAAAAATAAACATTGTTTTTAAACCATTATTTTAAGTAAGAAAAAGGGAGAGTGCAAACAGAGACTCCAGAGGCCCTGTGGTGTGTGAACGCAGGGAGGTTTACCTTGAGCAGCATGTGTTTCTCGCTGGGGGTCAGATACATCTTGTTCTCGTAATAATCCACACAGATGTTGACAATGTCGGCCAGCAGCTCCTCATAGCCGGGAATCACTTCCAGTTGCTGATGGAGACACTAAACAGCAGCACCCTGGGTTAGGCAGGCACCCACATGCTCCTGTACCCTCACCCTCACCACAGCAGAGCACCCACAGCCAGCCAGGTGGGGACTGAGGGTGCCACGGGCCCACTCACTGCCCAGGAGTCACGGCATACCCAAGTGAGCGGACCTGTACGCCAGCCCACACCTCATGCCTGAATCCTCTCCTCAAGGTCCCCACAAGTAGCTGTTCCTACACGCCTCCCGTGGCAGGAACTCACCCCCTTGAGGCCCTTGATTTTATTTCCTGGCTGTTCTGATGGTTAAAAAGTTCTTTCTTGGGCTGAGGTAAAAAGCAGCTCAGCTTTATAGTAATACTGGTTGTCACTGAGTTGATTCTGACTATCATGGTGACCCCATGGGTGTCACAGAAGAACTGTGCTCCACAGGGTTTTCAACGGCTGATTTTTCAGAAGCAGATCACCAGGCCTTTCCCCCAAGGTGTCTCTGGGTGGACTCGAACCTCTCACCTTTTGGTTAGCAGCTGAGTGGGTTAATCGTTTACAGCACTCAGGGACTCCTTACAGTAACAGGCCTGTAGGAATTCTGGCTTAGTTTTGACAGTATGGACTTATCTACTAGTCTCCTCAGACCTATGGCAGGGAAGAGTCAGCCCAGTGGAGGAGAGCTGGGCCAGCAGGGGTCTCCCTTCTGTCAGGCAGCCCAGAAACACTTCCTGTCAGAGGAGGTCAGGCCCCTATCCCTACCCTGGGCCTTTTCTCTCCCAAAGGGACAAAAGGGGCCCTATGGGGTGTCCAGAGGAGGGGGTAGACACTGCTGGTGCTCCCTGCAGGCAACACAGGACTGAGTCTCTGGGAAGGAAAACTTGTGGAGCCTCTGAGGCTGAATGGCCTCCACAGTTAACAAAGAGCAGGATGGGCCCTGTCAGTCTGGGGCCTCCATGAGAGGGATTTGAGCCCGAAAACCCTTGAAACAGGGAGGGCCCCTCTCAGTTTTAGCCTGGGTCCTACTGGTACCAGTACCTACTGGGTCCTACTGGTTCCAGTTTAGGTTGAGATGGCAATGAGTAAGATGGGTCCTGTTACGTTGTGCCTGGACATGGAGTGGGACAGCAACAGCTGAGTGCAGGTGCCCTGACAAAGCTTTGGCAGTAGTAACAGCTACATCTTCTAAAGTGCTATTTGTCAGGCCCTGAGTGTGAACGGTTTTCTATATACTATCTCATTTACTTCTCACAACAATGCTATGATGTTGTGATGGATTCTCATAATATCCTCAACATATTAGCCACATTTTACAGAGAAGGAAACTGAGGCTTAGACCTTGCCCAAGGTCTCAAAGCAGATCAATGGTGAGTCCAGGATTAGAAAACAAGGCAGTCTAGCTCCAGAACCCGTGTTTTCACCCTCTACACTGATGCAGGGGCAGAGCACTGGCTGAGAAGGCTCAGGGAACAAAAACCAGAGAGGATAAAAGAATCAACTGTGGTTGGGAGAGGAGACTGAAGTCATTCTCACGTAGGCCTGTGCCTGGGCAGGGGAGACAGGGGTCTGAACTGAGTTTGTCTGCTCACAGTCTCCAATCTCTAGGCCCTGCTTGGCATCCCTGAGAAGCCAGGCCAGGACTAGCAAGGAGTCAGCCATTACCTGGGTGATCCTATTGTGGTTGGCCAGGAACATGGAGAGGTTCTGGGACTCCTGGATAGACTGGGGGTCCGCCATCTTCCTCAGGAACTGTGCCGCCCTGAAACACAGAGAGCGGGTGCTGCCAAGAGGACTGCTCCAACAAACCGCTAAACCACGTCCTGTGGGCTCCAGCTCCCACATAGCCCAGGATCTGCCCAGAATCACACTGTCCGCCAAGGTTAACATGCTTTGAATATCACCAGTGACTCTAATATCAAAGGAAAGCATGTTCTGGTGTCATTTGTTTGGGGCTGTTTACATAGGGTACCTAAAATTAAAAGGCAAGAAGACACCTAAAATCTCTGAAACTCGAACTCAGAAAGTTTAAGGACAATTAAAACCAGTTGCCTTGGAGTTAACTCCAACCCATGGCGACCCCTTGTGTATCAGAGCAGAACAGTGCTCCATAGGGTTTTCAGTGGCTGACTTTTTTTGGAAGTAGATCACCAGGTCTTTCTTCCAAGGCACCTCTGGGTAGACTTGACCCTCCAACCACTTGCATCACTCAGGGACTCCTAAAAGCAATTGTTATTTGGTGCCACGGAGTCGATTCCAACTAATAGTAACCCTAAATGACAGAGTAGAACTGCTCCAGAGGGTTTTCTAGGCTATAATCTTTATGGGAGCAGATTGCCAGGTCTTTCTCTCTTGCAGTCACTAGGTGGGTTTGAACTGCCATCCTTTCAGTTAGCAGCTGAGCACTTAACTGTTGCACCATAAAAGACTCCTTAGCATCCCATAAACAAGCCCAGAGTGGTAGGACAGAAAAGTGAAATGAGCCCCCATGTGCCTCCTTGATACCCCCAGTGAAAGTGCGTAATCAGTGCTTTAACCGTGAAAGTTATAGAGAACAATCTTGGGCAGGACGCTTTGTTTTTGTCACGTGTTCTGTTATACAGGAAAACCTAGAAGTTTCTAAAGCAAAGCACTGCATGGAAAACAAAAGTCTATCTAACCAAACAGGATACAGGTGAAGGGATGACAGGTGTAAGGAACATAAACAGGTCTCAGAGGGAGAAAACCTCAGCTTCCTGGACAGCCACACCCTAAAATGGAGGTGGTGTAGCCTGTGTGTGATAAGTGTGAAAGCAGACAAGATGCCCACCCTGTTGATGGCTTGAGCTGGCCACTAGAGGATGTGGGCTGTGGCTGGGATGGAAGTGGTTGGCCATAACTGGGAGACGTTTGAGGAAGAAAGTGTACAATGAGCTATACATGAAATCTTTGTGAAAGGTGCCACTTCTGAGTCAGGCCTGTGATGGGGAACTACCTGCTGGGAGCCTCCAGTTTCATAGTTTAACCAGCAGGATAAAATTGTGAGAATCAGCCTGTTCTCTGCTTTCTCCAGTTACCTCGAAACCCAGGCAGATGTGGCTCAAGGAGGAGGGTCCCTCTGTATCAGTGACATAGAATGTCTTCCCAAGATGTTTACTGAGATACTTTGCAGCTCCTCTGAGCTTTAACCAACATAGAGGTCATGTGTTGTTTCTGTCTGCCCTTCCCACTGTTGGGCGACTGCATTCTGATTTTTTGGAGAAGAATGACCACTCCCTCCCTATTCTCAGTCCACCTGTCTCTTCTTCCTTGTGAGCTGACACTGACCCCCAACTCCAAGGGTGAACACATCCAATCAAAGCTCCAACCCCTCTCTCCCTGCCCACACGGCCCAAGATGGATCACGGACAATCCTCCAGGGAGTTTTGCAGAAAGTGTTTGGCAGAGAAGAATCCTTTCCTTTCCCTAGTAGCTTGTGTTACTACACTGGCCAGAGGGAAACTTGAAGCTTCTGGAAGCCACCACAGACCATTAGTCTGCCTGAGGATGAGGCAAACAGAGAGGGAAGTCGAGCTGAGAGGTAGACAGAACCAGAGGACGAACATCATTTGAGTACCTGGGTCCAGGTATGCCTGGACTTGGACATTCCAGTGGCCAATTATTTCCTTCTTTTATATAAGCATTTTGAATTGGCTTTCTGATTTTCACCAAAAACAACTATTTTCTGACTATCTTAATGGTACCATACTACATGGGACAACAGAAAGTCCTGCTACTCTGTGGGGAGTGGCGAGATGTGGACTGGGTTCCAACCTGAGAAATAAAACCCTGTAAGCCCTCCAAAGACCCAGCTCCACACCTTATCCCTCAAACCACAAAAAAAGACACAGGCCCATTCCCGCTGTGTGTGGGGAATACTAGTTTGGTTCCAGAGAAGGAACCTGGCAGAAGGGCTCCATCCACTCCTTCCCCTTGGCCAGCTACCAGGGAAGAAAGGACAGGCTGGGGAGGGACGGGGTGTGGGGAGGGTGTCCTGACCTCTTGTAGGCAGAGTGGTCGTTCTTAACACTGCACTTCATGTTCTTCAGCTCGTCCAAGACGGCAAACATGTTGATGAACTTGCCCAGGGTCAGGAGGTAGGCCTCAGAGACAAAGTCCTTCCTCCGCTCTGCATGGCACAGACGCTTCACCTCGCTGCAGAACCGCTCGATGGCCTTGCGCTGCAGGCAGAAAGCAGGGTGTAAGGATGGGGCAGCCGAGGGGCACGGCTTGCTGCGCTCTCTGGTGGGGAGTGGGGTCAAGGCTCCCCTGGGGTCCTAGTCACAGCCCAGACATTTAGAGAAAGGCAAGTCTTCTATGTGACCTTTCTCAGAGGAGTCCCCAAATCCAAAGTTGATTTCTAGAGGGGAGCCTGGAACCTGCCCCCAAGTGAGTTAAACCGGTTAATCCCTTCAACGAGCATTTGCTGAGAGGCATTATGTTATTCATTTTTGTATCCCCAGTGCCTACTAGACAATAAGAAGGTATCTACAGAGAGTGAGAGAGACATTCAGAGAAAGACATTAATTTATTCAATAACAATTTATTGAGTATCTACTATGTACCAGGTACCATTCTAGGTACTTTGGTAAAGCAGGAAGCAAAACAGAAAGGAAACAAACAAACAAACAAAAAAACCAACTCTGCTCTAAGGAGCTTAAATTCTAGTAAGGAAAGGCAGAAAACAAAATAAATAAATTCTCTGTATTAGATTATGATATGTGCTACAGAGGAAAATAAGAAAGCCAAGGGGGATGGGGCGGGCTGGGAGTAGCTATAACTTTTAAGTAGGAAGGTCTCAGAGGAGAAAGCATCCAGAAGTGACTTTTAGGAAAAGGATTTGAAAAAGGAGAAGAGGAAAGACCAGGGAAGGGCATTCCAGGCAGTGGGAACTGCCAGTGCAAAGGCCCTGAGGCCAGAGTGTGCAGGTGTGTTCAAGGGATGGGAAGGAGACCAGTGGCTGAAGTAGACTCAGGCGTAAGGGGGTAAGGAGCATGAGAGGAGTTACAGAGGGGCCAGGGCCAGATCAATTGGCTCTTGTAGGCTGTTGTGAGGGATCAGGCCCTGACACTGAGCAAGCTGGGGAGATGTGAGAGGATTCAGAACAGGATAACATGGTGAATTCTATTTTATAAGGTCACAGTGGCTGCTGTGGTGAGAACAGATCGTAGGGGGAAAGGGTAGAAGCAGGGCTTACTGTATTTAAAGGTAGAATTACCATGTGACCTAGCAATTCTACTTCTAGGTATATTACCAAGAGAAATGAAATCACATGCTATTGAATTGTATCCCCAATATAGAATTGTGTCCCCCAAAAATGTGTGTCAACTTGGCTAGGCATGATTCCCAGTATTGTCTGGTTGCCCATCATTTTGTGATCTAATGTGATTATCCTATGTGTTGTAAATTCTAACCTCTATGATGTTAATGAGGCAGGATTAGAGGCAGTTATGTTAATGAGGCAAGACTCAATCTACAAGATTAAGTTGTATCTTGAGTCAATCTCTTCTGAGATATAAAAGAGAGAAGTGACTAGAGAGGATGGAGATCTCACACCAGCAAGAATGAAGCACCGGGAGCAGAGCGCGTCCTTTGGACACAGGGTCTGTGAGCTGAGAAGCTCCTAGACCAAGGGAAGATGATGACAGGGACCTTCCCCTAGAGCCAACAGAGACAGAAAGTCTTCCCCTGGAGTAGGCACCATGAACTCAGACTTCTAGCCTTCTAGACTGTGAGAGAATAAATCTCAATTTGTTAAAGCCATCCACTTGTGGTATTTTTGTTACAGCAGCACTAGATAACTAAGATAGAACTTGGTATCAAGAATGCAGTGCTGCTCTAACAAATATCTACAATGTGAAAGTGGTTTTGGAATTGAGTAATGGGTAGAGGCTGAGTTTTAAAGTGTCTAATACTAAAAGCCTAGATTGCCTTGAAGAGACTGCTGGTGGAATTATGGACGTCTAAGACAATGATGATAAGGACTCTGAAGGAAGTGAGGACAGCTGTAACATCAGAGACAGGCAGATGGTGAGAAGCAGCAGCAAAGAAACCGAAGCAGCAGCAGCTGAGAAATGGCAGAAGCAGAACCAGGAGACTGGTGTGAGATAGTGTGGGAGCCAATCTATGGAGTGAGAGAGCTGACTGCCTTTGGCAGGAGGCTTCCTGGTGGAGTGGAGTGTCTTTGGGCACTTATTAGTGGAGGTAGGCTAGCCGACCCACAGAGTAAGAGAGCTGAGTGCCTTCCGGCTAAGTTTTACTGGTGGAATGGGGTGCTTCCAGGCACTTATTGGTAGAACTGAAGAGCTTTGAAACACTTGCCTGAGCAGGGCAGACTCCAGGCCAGCACAAGAGGCCCAAGGGGCCAAGAGGCCAACGAACCAGGAAGCAGAAGATGAAGAAACAAGGAGCATAGGAAGCAGACCTGCCTCGGTCTCAAAGGGTAGGGCCAAGACCTCTGGGGTCTTAAAGGGTGGAGCCATGGCCTCCAGGATTTCAAAGGGTGGGGCCTCAGCCTCCTAGTTTTCAAAGAGTCAGATCTTCACCTACTCGGTTCTGGAGAGTGGGGCTGACTTTCACAAGTGCCAGTGGGATGGGGCCAGATCTACTGACTAAAGTTGAGGGGATAAGGCTGCCATGCTCAAGGGGAAGAAGAACAGGGCCTGCTGGGGTCGAGGAGGTAGGGTCACCACTCAGACGGACTAGAAGAACATGGCTGCCTAAATCTCAGGGAGCAGAATTGCCATCCCAGTAGGCCTGGAAGGTGAAGCTGAAGCCCAGAGCCAAGGTGCCTCCACCCAGAATCCGGAGAGTGTGGCCAACACCCAGAGTATGGAGGACAGGGCCATTGCCTAAATGATCTCAGAGAACAGAGGTATTTTCAAGCTTTGAGGGCTAATGTAATGTCTTCTACTGGCTTGCTTGGTGCCTGTTATCCCTTCTTTCCCTCCAATTTCTCCCATTTATAATGGAAATGTCTAGCTTGTGCCTGTTCCACCACTGTATTTTGGAAGCAGATAGCTTGTATTCTAGATTTCACAGATGAAGAGGAATTTTGCGCCAGGAGATTTTGGGCTTGGAGTTGATTTAAGACTTTTGGGATGACATGATGAGGTGAATGTGTTTTACGTGTGGCAAGGACATGAATTTTGGGGGGCCAAGGGGTGGAATATTATGGATTGAATTGTGTCCCCTAAAAATGTGTGTCAACTTGGCTAAGCCATGATTCCAAGTATTGTTTAGCTGTCCACCATTTTGTGATCTGATGTGATTATCCTATGTATTGTAAATCCTAAACCTATGAAGTTAATGAGGCAGAATTAGAGGCAGTTATGTTAATGAAGAAGGACTCAAATCTACAGTATTAGGTTGTATCTTGAGTCAATCTCTTTTGAGACATAAAAGAGAAGTAAGCAGAGAGGAGTAGGACCTCACACCACCAAGAAAGAAGTGCCAGAAGTGGAGCATGTCCTGTGGACCCAGATCCCTGTGCTTAGAAGTTCCTAGACCAGGGAAAGATTGATGACAAGGACCTTCCTCCAAAGCTGACAAAGAGAGAAAGCCTTCCCCTAGAGCTGGCACCCTGAATTTGGACTTCTAGCCTCCTAAACTGTGAGAGAATAAATTTCTGTTTGTTAAAGCCATCCACTTGTGGTATTTCTATTATAGTAGCACTAGATAACTAAGACATATGCCTACACAAAAACTTATATACAGATGTTCACAGTAGCATTACTCACAATAGCCAAAAAGTGGAAATCACCCAAAAGTCTATCAATTGATGAATAGATAAACAAAATGTGATAAATCTGTACAATGGAATAATATTCAGCCATTAAAAGGAATAAAATACCGATAAATGCTACAACATGGATGAACCTGGAAAACATTATGCTAAGTAAAAGCAGTCAGATACAAAAGACCACATAGTGTAGATTCCATTTATATGAAATGTCCAGAATAGACAAATCCATAAGAGACAGAAGTAGATTATTGGTTGCCAGGGGCTAGAGGGAGGAAGAGGAGGATGAGGAGGTTGGGATCATTGTGGGGTGATGGTTAAAGGGTACAGGGTTTCTTTCTGACGTGGTAAAGAATATTCTAAAATTGATTGTGGTGATAGGTGAACAACTCTGAATATACTAAAACTCATTAAATTATATATTTTAAATGGGTGAATTGTATGGTATGTAAATTACTGTATCTCAATAGAGCTGTTACCAAAAAACAAAAAACAAAACAAAACAAAAAAACAAGGCAGCTGAACAGCAAAAAAAATAGAGGCTACTGCAGTAATCTAGAGAGAGAGAAAGAAGGAGAAGAGGTGGGGGTAGGGAGAGAGGGAAGGAGGGAGAGAAATTAGTCCTCAGAATGGGAGCTCTGCTTCTCTTCCATCAGCCTGACATGTCCTACCAGCCAGTCATTCTTCTCCTCTAAAGACCAAACCAAGCCACACTTTCTCCTTCCAGTGTCTAAGTCCAATAGAACATTCTGTGAGGATGGAAATGTTCTATATCTGCAGTGTCTAGTATGATAGCCACTCACCAAATGCGACCATTGAACATTTGAAATGTGGCTAGTGCAACTGAGAAACTGCATTTTAAAATTTATTTAATTTTAATTAAACAGCTATTGTTGTTGTTAGGTGCTGTTGAGTCAGTTCCAACTCATAGCGACCCTATGTACAACAGAATGAAACACTGCCCGGTCCTGTGCCATCCTCACGATTGTTGCTATGTTTGAGCCCATTGTTACAGCCATGGTGTCAATCCATCTCGTTGAGGGTTTTCCTTTTTTTCACTGACCCTCTACTTTACCAAGCATGATGTCCTTCTCCAGGGACTAGTCCTTCCTGATAACATGTCCAAAGTATGTAAGACGAAGTCTCGCCATTCTTTAAATAGCTACATGTGGCTAATGGCCACCATATTGGATAGTGCAGTTCTAGATTATTCTAGATCCTCCCTTCTCTAAACATCTCTTGTCAGAGACCCTCAGGTTAGCATTTAAGCAGTTCTTTATACTTCTTCTCTCTTGGATGTTCCTTCCCAAAAATATCTTCGGCTCACTGAAGGCAGGACCATAATGGTAGTAACAACTGCCATTTACTGAACTTACTCTGCCGCCAGGGCTCTACATGGCTCTTTACATATTTGACCTTATTGAATCCTCACCACAAACCTGTAAAACCTGACCTACTGCTGTCAAGTTGACTCCAACTCAGAGCAACCCCATGTGTGTCAAGAGTAGAACTGTGCTCTGTAGGGTCTTCAATGACTATAATCTTAAAGAAGTAAATCACCTGGCCATTCCGTATCGCCCCTGAATGGATTCGAACCACCAACCTTTTGGTTAGTAGCCAAGTGGAAACTGCACCACCCATAGTGACCCTACAGGACAGAGTAGAAGTGCCCCATACGGTTTCCAAGGCTGCGAATCTTTATGGAAGCAGACTGCCACATCTTTTTCCCACAGAACAAGCGTCTAGTGGGTTTAAACTGCTGATCTTTTGGTTAGTAGCTTGCACTGCCCAGGAACCTAGAAGCAGGCATTAATTTCCAAGTGAGAAATCTGAGGGTCAGCAATGTTAGCTCATACAAGTTAGAATGTGGCAGAACTGGGATTTGACTCGGGTTTCTTGTCCTCTGAGCCAGTGCTCAGAGGCAGTGCCTGGCTCCATTTTCACCTTCCCCCCAAAACTCCCATCCCCACTCATAGGGGGCTAGCACAACACTGAGCAGGTAGACTTTTAACCAGTCCTTGAACAATGTGTCGAAAGCATGGAGTGTGGCCTGACTCTCACCCTGGGGCACAGACTAGTCTTAAGTGTTCAACCCGCATCCTGAACAGCTTCCGACATAACCACAATAACCAACTTGCTTGCATTCTTTTTCCTTTGTCATTTCTGTTTACTCAGCTAGCCATCTCCCACTGATGGAAAGCCCTGGCTCTCTTTTCTCTTTTCCTCATTTAAATGGTTGCTCTTCTTGGTCTTGCAACTGGTCTCCCTCCTGTCACTGTTGACCCCCACCTTCCTCTCTCACCGCCCCTCCCCTCAGTCTACTTTCCACAGAGCAGCCAGAGCATTGTTTGAAAACCTAAATCAGATCATATCACTAAAATCTTCCAGTGGCTTCCCGTGCTGTGTGAATAAAATACACATAACCTCTTCATGGCATACCTCACAGACTACAACACCATACGTGATCAGGTCCGTCTCTCTCTCTCTCTCTCTTCTCATTGCACTGCAGCATCCCTGGCTTCCTTCCATTTCCAAAACATGACAAGCTTTCGCAGGCCTCAGGGCCTTGGGCTTTGCAGTGCCGTCTGCCTGACACACTTTTCCTGCAGATCATCACATGGCAGCCTCTTGCTCACCACACAGACCCCAGTTCAATGTCTCCTCCTGAGAGGCCGTCCCTAGAGCTGGACCCACATTGCAGGCACTCTCTGTCACAGAATCCTGTTTTTATTTCATTCACTACTTACTCTGCTCTGAAATTATTATGTATTATTGTTTGAATGTCCCTCTGCTCCAAATGCACTCATATATTCACTCGGATGTAAATTACATGGAGGGGGAGCTTGTCTGCCTTATTTACCCAAGGGTGTAGTGGGTACTCAAACGACATTTGCTGAAGAATAAACAAACAGCATGGCAGAAAAATCCAAATTCCAGTGTCTAAGTCTCCTGGTCTTAACCCACCCCCACCCCTCACCTGAAAGTACATGAACTTCATGAGCTTGGTGACCTCTGGCTCCAGCACCTCCACTGTCTTCTCATAGATCTCCACTCGGTTGGGCTGCTCATTGCATTTCACCTGTGGGGGAGAGGCAGGGTCACACCTGCTGGTTTGCCCAGGCAGTCCGGGTTCACACCTGCTATCTTAGTAACAGGGCCCCTTGTCACTCTTAAATGATCACTCTTGGTTTGATCACCCTAGTGAAAGGAGGCTGCGTAGGCCTGTCAGATAGGCTTGATAGAGGGCAGACTGCTCCCCAGAGTTTGGCTGCAGAAAAGGAACCAGTTGGTCCTGAGACCAGAACGCTCCTCCCCTTCCCTCCATTCTGGGCCTCGATCATGAATTGTGCACATATCTATGTAGGTCTTTAAGTTCTCCCTCCTTCAGCCTTTTCACCCTCTCTACCCTATGTGGCCTGGCCAGATTCTAAGCAGAGAAAAATGTTTTGTCCATTGCTCCGGACGGACCTGGGATAAAGCTCCCCCAGCCATACCCAGGCCAACACTGGCCGACATGAGATGTGTCCATCAAGAAACCCATTTCATGACTAGTGGTTTTCAACCAGTGTGTGCATGTGCATGCCTAACAGGTCAACCAACCAGGCCAACAGGTCAACCAAATTCAAAGAGTGAGCAAAGGTAAGTAGAAGGACATTCTTCATACTGTTGTTAGGACATTCTTAAAGTGGTAGCTGCAACTTAAATAGCCACCAGTCAATGACTAAATGAATAAAATACATTATGGTACACTCATACAATGTCATCACACAACTGTTAGAAGGAACGAGATCCATCCATATGAACTGACAGGAAAAGATGGTCATGATAAACTGACAGGCAAAAAAAGTTGCAGAACAGTAAGTATAATCTGATCCCATTTTTGTTAAATGAAACAAAATAAAACAGAGCGTGTGCATTCATATATAATGCAGTCACAGAAAATATGAAAGGGTATAAACCAAACTGTTGACAATAGTTACCTCAAGGGACTAGGACAAGGAGGAAGGGAGAGGAATAGTTTCTGTTTCCTTTACACACCTCTGGTTTTTTGGTTTTGTTAAAATGGGACCTACTACGTTTTTTTACACAAATAACAAATAACTATGCTGTTAAAAATTAGCATAGTGCGTTTACAAAATATCTTGGGTAGGGGGTGAGGGCATGGCTGGCACACAAACTAAGAAGGCACGTGTTATTTACATAAAAATATGGTAATTATAGGATGATGATGATAACAATCATAATATCTATATGTATCAACATGAAAAAGTAATAAGGAATTAAGTGGTAAGAAGTATGTGGCAGAAGAACATAAATAAGAAAAACACAATTTTGTCAATGCTAATAATTTATAAAGTAATATACATTCAAGGAAAAAGATCCAGAAGAATATATAGCAAAGCATTCATAGCGATGAAGGTGAGGGGATGGGGATGTCTTACTTTTTGTTTTATACCCTTCTGCAGTGGTTTGGGTGCACTGCAATTAATATATACTGCTTTTGAACTAAAAGATACTGAACAAGTTTTTTTAATTTCCTAAGCATGGAACCTTGTCATTAGTTTTACGGAAAGCTCTCTGAATGACTACAGCGTGCACCCTTGGTCAATAGGCCCTGCTTTGCTCCCTACTAGCTGGAGAAGACCCTGTTCTCAGCTCTCTGTATTGGAGACATGAGGCTAACAGCGCCCCCTGGAGGGGAAAGAGGGACACACGACACGGACAGTCTCACCTGGGGGATGGCCCGGGAACAGCTGCGCCAGGTGTACAGCATGACCGCATACTCATGCCCTTCTTCCAGCATTTCATTCTGAGAAAGCAAAACACACTCAGCAGGGAGAAACCATGCCAGCACCACATGGCTGCTCAACAACCCCCTAAACCCTCAGATATCACAGAACCAGTTGCATTAGCACCACCTGGGAGCTTAATAGAAATGCAGAATCTCAGGCCCCTCCCTGGGCCTATGGAATGAGAATCTGCATTTCAACAAAATTCCAAGGTGACTCAAATGCATAGAAAACTCGAGAGGCACTGGCCTAAATCATCCACATCAGACACCCCAGGGCTCTGCAACCAGGCCACGTTTTTCAAACGGATGGCCACCATAGAATGGATGAGGCAGAGCTACGTGTTCCCACAGCAACAGGTGCCCCAGTTATACTGTGAGCAGGAAAATAACAAGCAGCAAAACACTATGTATAGCAGATGAGTGAAAAAAACAAAAGAAAGAGGAATAATTACAATAATATATAGTATTATGTATTGGAAAAAGTTTTTGGTGGAATATGCACAAAGCTACGTCTAGCAAGCTCTCTAGGGGGCCTTCACTTTTTATGTCATATGGTTCTATAATGTTTGCACTCTTATATAAGCCCGTGTTACTATTTCATAAACAAGAACATGATTAATATCAATTTTTAAAAATAATAGAGTAGATGGCAAAACCAACAACAGCATGAATCTGCAAAATACGGTGAAGACTCACCTCACCTAGTAAGTGCTACTGTGGAAAGACCCTAAACTCAGGGTCCAAATATCTGGGCTCAGATACCAGCTTCATCACTCATTATCCTTTTGGCCTTCAGTAAATCCTTTCATAGTCTAAAACTGTCCATTTAGTCATCTGTTTAAGTGATGATAATAATAATAATCTCACCATCACGTAGAATTTTGTGAGAGTTAAATGAAAAATATATATACACACACATGTATGCTAGGCAATCTGTAAAGGAAGTTAAGAATATTACTAGGAAAATAATCTGGCAATTTCTCAAAGAGTAAAACATAGTTACCATATGAACCAGCAATTCTACTCCTAGGAACATATCCCAGAGAACTGAAAACATACACCTACATGAAAACTTGTTCATGGAGGTATTATTCATAATCACAAAAAATAGAATGTTATGGATTGAATTGTGTCCCTCAAAAAGATATGTTGGAGTCTTCAAAAAAAGACCAGATTTACTAGTCTGACAGACACTGGAGAAACTCCGAGAGTATGGTCCCCAGACACCCTTATAACTCAGTAATGAAGTCACTCCTGAGGTTCACCCTTCAGCCAAAGATTAGACAGGCCCATAAAACAAAATGACACTAAAAGGGCACAGCAGCCCAGGGGCAAGGACAAGAAAGCAGGAGGGGACAGGAAAGCTGGTAATAGGGAACCCAAGGTCGAAAAGGGAGAGTTGTTGACATGTTGGGGGTTGGCAACCAATGTCACAAAACAATATGTGTATTAATTGTTTAATGAGAAACTAATTTGCTCTGTAAACCTTCATCTTTAAAGTACAAAAGAAAAAAAAAAAAAGATATGTTGAAGTCCTCACCCCTGGACCTTGTTTGGAAATAGGGTCTTTGAAGATGTTATCAGTTAAGTGAACATGAGGTCATACTGGAGCAGGACAGGTTCTAATTCAATCTGAGTGGTATCCTTATAAAAGAGGAAAAGAGACACAGAGAGACAGACAGGGGAAGGACTATCATGTGAAGATGCATCTACAAGCCAAGGAACACCTGAGGTTCCTAGGAGCTGGGAGAGACAAGAAAGGATCTTCTCCTAGAGACTTCAGAGGAAGCATGGCCCAGCCAAAATGCTGATTTGGACTTCTAGCCTCCAAAACTGTGAGACAATAAATTTCTGTTATTTAAAGCCCCCGTATTGTGGTACTTCGTTATGGCAGCCCTGGGACACTAATACCGAAGAATCAACCCAGGTGTCCATCAACTGATGAATGGATAAAATATGGTGTAGCCATACAATAGTATATTATGCAGCCATAAAAAGGAATGAAATAGTGATACATGCTACAACATGGCTGAACCTTGAAAACATTATGGTGAGTGAAAGAATCCAGACACAAAAGACCACATATTGTATGATTTCATTCATATGAAATGTCCAGAATAGGGCGGGGCCAAGATGGCAGAGTAGTCAGATGCTTCCAGTGGTCCCTCTTACAACAAAGACCCAGCAAAACAAGTGAATCGATTATATATGACAGTCTAGGAGCCCTGAACATCAAAGGCAAAGTTGAGGAATCAGACTGAGAGGCAGGTGGAGGGAGAGATGGTTTAGAAGCAGCAAGGAGTTGCTAGATCTGACCCAGTGGGAGCCGGTGCCCTGTGGGCCAGATCAGCTGGTGTGCACAGTGATGCAAGCAGTGGCATTTGGGATGCATTTTCCATGCTGAGCGAGGCTGAGCAGGCCTCCAGATTCAGTGAAAAGCGGCGCTCAATCGGCAAAAGATAAGTACATGCATTTAACCTACTGCGAATCAAAAAACACCCCATTTAGGAAGAAACTCTCTCCCATTTACCTGCTCCCTCCCTGCTCTGCACCCTGTCCCGGGCCAGCTTCAGCAACTGCCATGTCCCCTGGGCTGGAAGTAGGACCCATCATGTGCCCTGAGCCATTCTCCCGGGCTCAGAGAAGGAACAAATTAACAAACAGGAAAAATAATCTGCAAGCTCCCCTAAGCCAGGAACTCAGGGCAGGAACAGCTCCTTTGCCTAGGCACAGGCATAAGGGGTCCATGGACTTTGAATGCCTTTCACCCCTGCACAGACCTGTGTGGACCCATTTCAACAGCATAGGTCCTCGTTAGCACAGTACAACAGGGTATATACTTGAAGCCTAACTTCACTGTATTAGCACATGGTGGAATGGCAGGTTCCTGTCATTTGATACCGCTCTGCCCCTTAGGCAGGTCCTCACCTACCCACATCAGGGGCCTGAGGACTGGTGGCTCCACCCATGCCACCTAGTCACCTGTGACAGGGATCCAAAAATAAGTGGTACCTCCCAGTCCTTACAGCCAACAGCACTGGGTGCCTATAGTCCGGCTGCAAAACCCACCCACCTACACACTCAAGGGAAGAGGGACATGCTTTCCTCCCAGACACGCAGGGGCAGCCGTCAGCCCCCTGCCTTGCTCAGTGCGTGACCCCCTGCTGCAGCCCGAAGCCTGTGCCTATACCAATCACCTATGCCTGTCTAGGACTGTAGGTGAGAGCCTGCACCACACACTTGGTGACCAACTATCTGGACACCTGAGCTGAATTCATACAAGGAAAGTAAATGGGCTCCTGGGCTCATATACCTAGTAACAGATCTAACCAGTTGGTGAAGGGACGTTAGAGCTTCTAAGGTGCCAATAATCAAACTAGCTCACACGAGCACCCTATTTGGGCATATCAAAACAAGAAGCTAGGACACAGTAAGCAAACATAAAATAAATAAATATAATAACTTATTGATGGCTCGGAGACAACAGTCAATATCAAATCACATAAACAGGCAGACCATGATGGCTTCAGCAAGGTCCCAAAACAAAGAACCGAGAAATTTTCCGGAGGAGTGAGAACTTCTTGGAATTACCGGAGGTAGAATACAAAAGATTAATATACTGAACTCTTCAAGAGATCAGGCAAAACACAGAACAAGGCAAGGAACACACAGACAAAGCAATAGAGGAACTTAAGAAGATTATAAAAGAGCACAATGACAAATTTAACATGTTGCAAGAATCCATAGAGAGACAGCAAACAGAAATCCAGAAGATTAACAATAAAATTTCAGAATCAGACAACTCAATAGAAAGTCATAGGAGCAGAATTGAGGCAACGGAAGTCAGAATTAGTGAGACTGAAGACAAAGCACTTGAAATCAACTTATTTGAGGAAAAATCAGCTAAAAGAATTTTTTAAAAATGAAGAAACCCTAAGAATTATGTGGGACTCTAACAAGAGGAATAACCTACGAGTGACTGGAATACCAGAATGGGAGGATAACAGAAAATACAGAGAGAATTGTTGAAGATTTGTTGGCAGAAAACTTCCTGATATCATGAAAGATGAGAAGATATCTATTCAAGATGTTCACTGAAACCCACATAAGGTAGATCCCAAAAGAAAGTCAGCAAGACATATTATAATCAAACTTGCAGAAACCAAAGATAAAGAGAGAACTTTAAGAGTGGCTAGGGTTAAATGAAAAGTCATCTACAAAGGAGAGTCAATAAGACTAAGCTCGGACTACTCAGAAGAAACCATGCAGGCAAGAGGGCAAAGGGATGACATATATAAAGCCTTGAAGGAAAAAATTGCCAGCCAAGAATTACATATCCAGCAAAACTGTCTCTCAAATATGATGGAAAAATTAGGGCATTTTCAGATAAACAGAAGATTTGGGAATTTGCAAAAACCAAACCAAAATTACAGGAAATACTAAAAGGGGTCCTCTGCTTAGAAAATCAGTAACATCAGATAACAACCCAAGACTAGAACACAGGACAGAGCAACCAGATATCAACCCAGATAAGGAAGTCACAAAAATAAATCAAAGCTAAAATGCTGAAAATAAGGAAACAGAGATGTCAATATGTAAAAGATGAGAACATTAAAACAAAAAAGAGGGACTAAAAAACATAGTCACAGATCTTTCACATGGAGAGGAAGTCAAGGCGATATAAAGAAATAAAAGATTGGTCTAAACTTAGAAAAATAGGGGTAAATATTAAGGTAACCACAAAGGAAACTAACAATCCTACAAATCAAAATAAAAAACAAGAAAAACATAAAGACTCAGCAAACACAAAATCAACAACAATGAAAAAGCTGAAAAGACATAAAGATAAATGAGTCAGCACAGAAAACTAAGTGGAACAAAGAAACTGTCAACAGCACACAAAAAAAGACATCAAAATGACAGCACTAAACTCATACCTATCACTAATTACGCTGAATGTAAATGGACTAAATGCACCAATAAAGAGACAGATAGTGGCAGAATGGATTAAAAAAAAG